TTGCCTGGTCCATCTTTCCAGCTACTGTAACCATATTTTCCTAACCTTGAAATGCCGGTGGCGGCGACGTTTCATCAACAAAAAAGGATAGGCATTTCCTCCGTTTCCAGCTCTGTCTCTGTGTTGTTTCTTTTCTGACATGCAGACAGGGGGCTGCCATCTTGGGGTCATGTGAGCGGAGAACGTGCTTTGGTTGTCCACTAGAATATTTCAGCTCAACCAGCAGCTCAGTAATGTGCACATGGCGAGTTTTTACCCCTTTGAGGCGAAAAATATCTTAACTGGTCAGATATTCACCTCAGCGTCTCGTGAGGCGGAAAACTCTGTGAAAATCAGGTGCACATGGCGAGGTATCTGCTGAGCAAGCGGTCATTCGAGGCCGTTTGCTCAGCAGATGGCCCTCATGTGTGGCAGGCTTTAAGGCACTGAGAAAAATCAATCACTGCAAAGAATTCAAGCAGCTTTCATTAACATAACACTGGCACACACGGAAGCCATCTCACTTTATTCTTAAATGAGAGCACAAAGCAACAGACTGAACAGGAGTAGGACTGGGCGATATGGCCTAAAATCAATATCACCATATATTGAAGATCTCACCTCGATAACGATAAGTAGACGATAACTACAGGAATGCGTAGCAACAATATTTGTCCACTAGATGGGGCTGTCTCATGTATTACATTGACTAAAATTTTACATGACTCAAGGTGCTACAGCTTCTTAAGGGGACATAAATGTGGCCAACTTACACATCTTTTCATTTTTTTATTATCAAATTTATTGACATGGGAAAAATTATCTGGATGAGAGACAAGAACTTGGATAACGATAAATCTTTGACATGTTGCCCAGCCCTAAACAGGAGTCTATCAGACTGCATTTATTGTTATTTACATGAAAATCTACTGAAGTAAAAATGGCCACAGTCAGAGTTTCAGTTCAGATGTGATTAGTGTATGATCTCCCTTTCATTTTTGTAAGGATGATACCAATGAGCCGGACCTCAGGGATGCAGCAGTTGTCCTCCTGACAACCATCACAGATGATGCCGAGAGTCCAGTTACGTACGACCCAGTGAGAATCTGTTATCCTAGAGGGTGATGTGATTGTCGACCTCTCCAGGCTTCCTGATGCCTTCCTGGTAATGTTCGGCCTCATCTATGCCTTACATCTAGATTATCCGAAGGGACTGACCAACACATTTGAGTTCACGCAGAAAATCTTACTTGGTCTTGATGAGTCTAAACTGTCACCCACGCTGCAGAGTCAAAAATGACCTGATGTTACATGTGTAACTCAAAATCTGATAGAGTGGTGGATTCAGATGACTCACTCTGTTAGAGCATTGTCCACATCCACAATGTAATTTACTATTTGTCTGCTCTTTAATTGTTGATGTTAAAGTAACACACCACCATTTGGGCAAATATGTTCATTTTCCACTTCTTGAGTTAACCCTCCCACTGTCCTAATGGGCGTGACCCCGCGAGGAAAGTTGACCATTGAGCAGGGTTGATGGTTCATCCCTTGGGTCCACGTGACGGGGTGAGGAGTGAGCACCACCTCACCCCTGCCACGTGGACCTCAAGGGATAAACCATCAACCCTGCTCAATGGTCAACTTTCCTCGCGGGGTCACACCCATTAGGACAGTGGGAGGAACAGTTGAGTTTTACCTTTTCTCTGTTCGTCCAGCCGTTCTGAGTCTGGCAACTCTCATTTGTGGCTTTAGTTTAGCGTGAATAATTGAATCGGATTAGCCTATGGGCTAATCCGATTCAATACTCAACTGGTTTTATGCCAAATGGCATAAAGTACTCACTGTCTTACTTGATAGTGGTTAGTGTAATTCATATTTTGTTAATGTTGAATTGATGTGCATCCTGATGTTGCTTTAAACCACCTACTCAAAGAAAGTCTACACACTGCTGTTGTCCAGTTTTCAAAAGTGTGCGTTTGTAATTGTTTCTTTCAAATTTTGTTTTATTTTCTGTTTGAGTTGGCTTAATCGGTAACTTTAATTTGATCATAATTTGAAAATATATTTAATATAAACTCCAAATATTTAAGTTTATTTATGGTCTGATATACTCAAATATCTGAGTTTATAAACTCAGAAAATATGAGGCAACTGATTGCCTTACATTTTTTGAGTTCTGCCTACTTATTCGGGTTTACAGTGTATGAACTGTAAAGATTTTGTGGTGTCAAGAGTTCATCTAACAGTTCAAGTGTTCATTTTTTGCTTTGTGTGTTCACAGGGCATGCTCAGTTGAAGTTTCCATCTCTGCGCGTTCAAGATGTAAGAAAAATAATACGAAAGAAATGCAACAACGAAAACTTCAAAAAGGCATCAACAACCAAGCAAGTTGATCCATAAAATGGACTGATTTTTTTAAAGGCATTTAAAAAAAGTCTTTCAAAATGGACAGAATTAACGCGTTAAACATGTTCAGAACAGTTTGCGTTCTCATCTTTGATTAATCCTGGTAAACAGGTCTGTTTTTGTTCTGTTCTAATTCTCTCTGTTTAATAAATTTAAACAACATGACTTAGCTATTTTATTTAATTTTTTTTCTCTGCATAAAGACGAAGTATCAGTAAATAGTGGAAATTAAATGTATTGGTAGTAAGCAAATAGCAGATGTTAAATGTTACTTGCAGTATGTGTTTATAGAAAAAATAGAGATACTTAAATGTACTAAAAGAATATTACGTCAAGTTTACTGTAAAGTGTACTTTCAAAACTGTAAGTATACTCAATTATATAAGAAGTACACTACAAGTAAACATATATTATTACTTTAAGTATAATTTTAAGTATACATTCAAAGAGAAAAGTATACTCAATTATTTCAGAAGTACACTACAAGTAAACTTATAATGTTACTTAAAGTTTATTTTTAAGTATACTTTCAAGGGCAAAAGTTTACTCAATTTTATTAGAAGAAAACTTATACTGTTACTTTTAAGTATACTTTCAATGAGAAAAGTATACTCAACTATATCAGGAGTACACTACAAGTAAACTTATATTGTTACTTTTAAGTATACTTCCAAGGAGAAAAGTATACTCGATTATATCAGAAGTACACTACAAGTAAACTTATAAGTATACTTCCAAGGAGAAAAGTATACTCAATTATATCAGAAGTACACTACAAGTAAACTTATAAGTATACTTTCAAGGAGAAAAGTATACTCAATTATATCTGAAGTACACTCCAAGTAGACTTGTGAGGTTACTTTAAGTATACTTTCAAAGAGAAAAGTATACTCAATTATATCAGAAGTACACTACAAGTAAACTTATAAGTATACTTTCAAGGAGAAAAGTATACTCAACTATATCAGGAGTACACTACAAGTAAACTTATATTGTTACTTTTAAGTACACTTCCAAGGAGAAAAGTATACTCAATTATATCAGAAGTACACTACAAGTAAACTTATAAGTATACTTTCAAGGAGAAAAGTATACTCAATTATATCTGAAGTACACTCCCAAGTACACTTGTGAGGTTACTTTAAGTATACTTTCAAAGAGAAAAGTATACTCAATTATATCAGAAGTACACTACAAATAAACTTAAATTATTACTTTGAAGTATACTTGCAGTATACTTCAAGTATACTTTTAGTGGCCCAATTTAGTCCCAAGGAGTATACTTCTAAGTAAACTTTAAGAACAAGTATGCAAATAAACTTCTGTACACTTAAGTATACTTGAAATTATATACTTAAAGTATACTTCTTTTTCGTAAGGGGTGACCAAGTCACTGTTTTGCAAGTCTTTCCAGTCAAGTCCAAGTCAAAGACAACCAAGTCCAAGCTGAGTCTAAAGTCAATGATGTGAAAATCCAAGTCAAGTCCAAGTCCTTCACTTTGAATTTTCAAGTCATAATCAAGTCATCTGTACAACTTCAATTTAATGACGATGATAATAAATTCCAGAATAAAAGCTTCTTAAAGTTTCATTTTTTTGCTCAAACAAGCAGGAAGTGCAACTGAACTTGATTATAAACAAAGAGCTGCTGCAGTTAGCAGAACAAGATCACACCCACAACCAAGGATGATTTATGATTTTTGTCCACGTCGTGCCACTTTTGTGCTAAAATATCAAATATGCTCAAGTCATCAAGTCAACAGATGCAAGTCGATTCAAGTCCAAGTCAAGTCGTAAATCTTTATAGATTTTATCAAGTCAAGTCAGAAGTCATTAAAATAATGACTCGAGTCCAAGTCATGTGACTCGAGTCCACACCTTTGATTTGTAGGGACCATTGTGCGCCCGGATCCCAACCGCTTGTTTGGAGTAGTTGCAGTGAATGTTCCCTTGGACACGTCAGCTAGTCCGATTGCCTTTTTTTATCTTCTGGATAAGACTGTCCAGGTGGAAGGACTCGTTGGATCGCTGAGTTTATGTCCCATGCTCACCTAGAGAGAATTAGGCGCAGTGGTGGGCTAATGTCTGACTTGGGTCTTATTTTGATGGTATTACTGTGGATTTGTTGTTCTTTTTGTACATTTGTTTTGGTGTTTTAAGTTTGAATTAGTGTCACAGTGAGACTTTCTCTGTCTTTTTACTGGATCTGGTGTAGCAGGGTGGGTATGGGGGGGGGTTCATGTTAAAAACAATAAAAATTGGAAAAAAACGTGGTTTTAAATGCATAAATACAAATGGTCAAATACATCTAAAACTGCAGGAATGTTTTATCTAAATGCAACTTGCAGATAAAAATCCAAAACATCGGAGATTCCTGCTTCTCTGCAGATTAAACCCAATGTGTGGATTATGCTGCCACCTGGTGTCCAACATCTTCAACTGCAGTTTTCATTTCATCAGACTTTTGATGCTGCAGTCCTGCAGCAAGGTCACAGCAACAACAACCCTATGAGGATCCGCCCAAATGGTCGTAAATTAATCATCGGCATGTCCTTCAAATAAAATCACCCTTAAGCAACAATCAGACCCGTGAGCTACAGAGCACAAAGAGACGCTTTGTAAAATCAATATTTATTAGATTAAAAACATTCTGTTGATTCTTAAAGTGTTCAATGACAGAAAAAAGATCGTCTAATTCCTTTCAGCATCACAACCGCTCCAAAAATGACTCCTGCTCTCGTTGAGCCAAAACAAAACCCTGTTTCTTCCAAACAGGAAGTGCGGTCCATTGCAAGGAAACCACCGTGGGGGCACAAAGAGTCGTCAATTTGTGAAATAATAAAACCCATTCAGCCTCATCTGGACAGAAGCTGGAGACGGGCGTGAAGATGAAGCGGAGTTGTAACAAAACCCTCATAAAAAAAAAAAAGGATCTACAAACACACAGACTTAGTTCAGAAGGGGGACATGTCTGAGTATCTTAAGACTCCAGAGCAAAGACACACCATATATACAGCCAGATCCGCTTGGAAAATAAACCGAAGGGTTGGCACGGTCGAGTGTTGAACATGAAGGGAACAACCTTTACAGACAGATGCAGGTTAGTTTATTAATAAATAAGAATCTGTCCACCCTGCCTAAACAAGACAAACCCAAACGGGGCGAGGAACGAGGCTGCAGGCAGGATCGGTCATCTCAGTGCAAATGGTCCAGCTTACGTAGCCTGAGGGGGTTGGGCAGAGCCTGCTGATTGGGTACCGAGGACGGCTCCTCCTCCGCTGAGCTTAATAAAACGCGACCTCGATGGTTGAAAAGGTAAAATGACGGATGGTTCCTCAGAGTGTCAAAAGTTCTGAAGAGAGGAAAAGAGATTATTTAAAACACGAGAGCTCGTCACAGACAGTTTAAACCAGAGAACACAGACAGAGTGACTCATTCTGGCCTCTTTGAGCTGTTTTTGTATAAAAGTTATCAACAATCACCATCTTACCTGTTGTAGAAGGCGTTCTGAGCAGCTGTCGTTGGGAGAAATAGTGTTTACATCCTACATGACTGATGAGCTGCCATCTTTAAACAGCTCCTAAACGGCGTTATTTCAAAAGTCCATCCTGGTGGATATAAACCCTATTTCTCAGAACAGAGGCTGTTCAGGAAGCCATCTATGACGTGTTAGATGGTAAGCACAACAAACCCTTTAACTCCTGGTTGGTTCTAATCAGTGAGGCGTTGGTGGGGGTCGCGTGGAAGAGAAATGATGTTAGAAAATTAAAGTTGTTGACGTTAAAGGTTGGAAAAAGCAGCAGAATATTGTGCAATAAGAAGTAGGCCAACCATGATTAGTGCCTAAATGAAAACGGGAGGTTTTAAATGCAGCAGCCTGTTGAACACGGAGGTGGGAGTGTCATGGTTAGGACTCAGAACAGCCTTTTTCGTTACTCAGCAGATTACTGGGGGACAGAATTGTTAATTCCTTGATGAGATATATATCCTTCTGCACCATTCAGGCAGTTTGGGCCTGTGCACCCGCCACCATAGCAAAGGAACTTGTAAATCCTGTCCTGCATCGACAGCCTAGGTTATTTTCTTCCCTTTCTCCGAGTTGGGTAATAGTAATGAAAGAGCTGTGTCACTTCTTGGCACGCTGTTGCACCGGTGTTGTTAGCAAATGAGGGTGGGGAACAGCTAACGTGGCTTCTTAAACTGCTGGTGTTCCCAACATATTCAGAAATGGCTTTTAGTGTCTTAGGAGCAGCTTTAGCCGGTACTGCAACCTCACAGCTTCCTTCCGCCAGAGCGCGGCAGCAGCCACCACTATACTGATGTACATGCACACTGATGAGTACGTACTGAGACAAAAAATAAACAAATAAAATATCAGCCAATTTTATTTTGGAATCAAATATTTATGTTGCAGTTTAAAGAAACAAACTGCATTACGTTATAATCGATTATGTGCTTCTTCAACGATGCATCATCATTCATGTCTGCATTTCGATGCATCAACAAGTACTTGCTTTTACCGAGTACCAGTGCCAGTACTGATAAATGTCATTACACTCCTTAAAATCAACTTGGAAATTGTTTCTATTCCTTTATCAGATTAAACTTAAATAAACATTCAGTGTATTATTTCTCTTATTTCACTGACAAAGCCACGCTCGTAGTGTACCTAAATGCTACTGAATCTTTGTAACAAACAGCCACGACTCCTACCGGTTTACCCAAAACTGACTTTGGTGGAAGTGCACCTTTAAAGGAGACTTATGCTAAACTGACCTTTTGTGCTGCCATATGGGTCTCTACTGCCTCAATAGCATTATCACCTTCTAACAGCCAATCAGGGGATGTGTGGGCATTAGGGATGGGTACCTTTGACATTTGAATTGATTCGGTACTAATTCCCGGTACCTAGGAATCGATACCGGTACTTAACGGTACCAGTTTTAGATACTTTTGAGTGTTTATTATTTTAATTCTCTTTTATAATAAAATATATTTTTTCTCAATATATAACCATATTTGATATCACGATAAATAACATACAACTGTTTGTATTTTAACATCGTCCTTGTAGTTTTATAAGCTGATAATTAAACTGAAGCAAACATCTTTACTGTGAACTAAATTTACTGTGTATCTTCATTCCTTTTGCCGTCTTTTTTCTTTTGATTTTTCCTACTGGGAAGTTAGAATTTCCAAGGAGAAAGCGAACGCACCATTAGCTGATAACAATGGTGGCATAGGAAGGTAACATATCAAGCTAACGTTATCTTAAACAGTTTATTTAGCTGCTGGAGCAGATTAAAACGATGATGCCTCACACTTAGATCGTTGTCGCTGGTTTCACCTTCACCCAATCACCCGTCGCATTTAGTAAAGTGAAGCAAAACTTTAGAGCGCGTTCATGTTCTTCTAGTCGGATATCCGGAGTTCCGAGGAGAAAGCGAACGCACCATTAGTGAAACGGAAGCTAACATATCAAGCTAACATTATCTTAAACATTTTATTTACCTACCGGAGCAGATTAAGATGAGGATGTCTCACTTAGATCGTTGTCGCTGGTTTCATCATCACCCAGTTACCCATCACATTTAGTGAAGTGGACCCAAGCGTTAGCGTGCGTTCTTTCTACCATGCTGCTCTGTTTACAACTCGCTCGCCGCGACCGACGACATAACGCTCTTGCGCATGCGCAGCTGTCTAGCCAAGTTCTCGTTATGAAGGACGGGTACCGAAACAAGGCACCGTTTCAAATGACGTGAATCGGTGCTCGGTCGGTACCGTGGAATTCGGTCGGTACCTTAAAAAGTACCGAATTCGGTACCCATCGCTAGTGGGCATGGCCAGCAACAGCCCATTAGCATTGGTAGAGCCCTCAAACGGCTCATTCTGTGTGGTACTGAAAATGTCAAGAATACAACTTTTAATGAGAGGAATTTGGTGCAAAAAATTGCATGGACCATAGAGCTAATACAACTACAGAATAAACGTTATAATTTGTCCCCAACAGTAACGTGTCTCCTGGCATTTTAAAGCGAACTTAATAACTACTGCAAATGTTTCGAGAACAACTGAATAATGAGATGTTTCAACAAATTAGTGTTTTTCAACCTAAATAAGACAAAGAACCGAGAGATGTTAGTCTCGTCGAACAGAGCTCTGGTGATTGTCCATCCCTAACTAGTGTATCTGCCGAACTGCCTTATGGGAGTTGAGTGTGTCCCTGTGGAGGGATGTTCCACAGAGCTGAAATCGAACCGGGTCACAAACAGATCCGGTACCGGAGGCTGTAAAGGGAATCTACTCACTTGTTTTTCAGCTCCGAGGACGCGTCCATGTCCTTGAACTCTCCAGCGATGTGAACGATCCCGTAGCAGGTCATCACAAACGATAATAATGTCTGCAGAACGATCTGTGGTGGGAGCAAGACGACGGTGAAGACAAATAAAAAGCAGGGCTCTCTCTGAAGACCAGAGATGGGTTACTCACGTCGATAGGCAGCGTTTCGTGCTCCTTCTCTGTGAGCCGCATGTATGACCGATCTGATGGGAGAGTTGGGATTTAATCAGAGTAATATCGACAATAACTCACAGAATACTCTTAATCCAAACATTAAACGACGGCAGTCACACAGAAGCGAGCAGGTACAGATTAAAGTCTTCCTCCGTTGGAGGCTCTAGCGGAGCTAGCTAAGCTGCTGTGGCCACAGGCCCCGCGGTCCTTCACTCGGTGGAGACTCAGTCCAACCAGAACTAACCAACACAGGAAAACATCGGTCTAACATCTTGGCGCTGAAACTCACGCTGTGCTGCCGAGAACGCTGCGTGGGCCAAGGCAAAGAGTCCGATGCCGACAACACCTTTCCAAAACGAAGAAGCCATCTCGAAGCAGGGCTCAGAGGGACTGTGGGCACCGTCGTAAAACAGTCGTAAACTGACGCAACTGTCACTGCGTCAAAACCAAAACCTACCTGCCAAATGATTATTTATGTTCGTTAAATATTATTATTCGCAGCCTGATATCTGTAAAATCATTTTATTTATGTGTTTTTGCGCTCTATTTAGATTTTTGTGAGCTGAAAATACCCAAAGAAAGCTGTCAGACGTCAAATGGTGCATTCGAATCACATCCTAAATTACATGTTTCTAACCAAACTCATTGATCTCCAACCAATATATTTGATCAAAAATTGAAGATTAGATGTATAACTAGAAAGAGCTTTTCATGGTTTAGTGAGCGTTTGCGTCAAAATAAGTCCAGATACACATAATTTTATTCTGACCTCGATTTAAAACCAGAATATCCGAGTGTGCCCTGAATCTTCCACTACATCCGGTCTCTGCGTAGCTTCTTCCTGTTAGCTAGCGCTGTTCTCTCATGTTGCCTTGCTAAGCGCTCTGTTACAATAATTAAACTTTTACAGTTGTGTAAGATAAAATAAGCAAACATGGCAGACGCCATTCAGAAGAAATTAAAAGCGGAAGTAGAAAAGTATGCACAAATGCAGAAAGGTGGGTTTTCTTTATGTGCTATCACAAGTTTTAGAGGGCATGTAGCCGCTATGTGTGCATGAAGTAACGTTAGCTTTTTGGCCATAAGAATAGTTTTTTAACCCACCTGCGTGTTTTTTCAGATGTTAGCAAGAACATGTCAGCCAGACAGAAACTGGAGACGCAGCTGACAGAGAACAACATTGTTAAAGAGGTAACTTCAGTCCTGTATGGCTGTATATCACAACGGTTTGTGTGTAATAATCCAGACATGACTCGCCTGTGTTTCCAGGAGCTGGATCTGCTCGACAGCTCAAACACCATCTATAAACTTATCGGTCCTGTTTTAGTGAAACAAGATCTGGATGAGGCCAAAGCCACCGTGGCTAAAAGACTGGAGTACATCAACGGGGAAGTGTAAGTCAAGCTGCTGCTTTACTGTTCTACAGCTCACCTGCACACCAATGTCTGTGTCACAGTGGTGAAAGATGGTTAGATTTGATCTTGTTTTTACAATTTCAGGTGGACGAAGCCGGTTAAACCCTGATTTTACTCAGACTCAGGCAGGAATCTTAATGGAAACAAACATAAAATGTAATTCTGAGCAATGCCACACAGAGATGAGATCATCAAATTAATGCGAATATTAAAAAAACAGTTGGCCCTTACCATTTATTGCCATTGACAGCTAAAGACGTCATTTTAAATCCAGTGGCTCGCTGCAATTGACAACTAAAGCTGTCAGTTGCATTGTTTTAACGGGGTGGGCGTGGGATCGAGCCCCCGCACCATGAGAGTAAACATGACGTCTCTAAAGCGGATCTTAGTCCGTGTGTCACACGTCACCTGATCAGGAAGGAGAAAATCCATGAATTGGGATATTGTTTTGGGACGCTGCAGTGAAAAAAGCGAGGCGCTAACCAGAAAAGCGTCTGCAGCTCACACTTGGACAACAGATTGTGATAGAACGGTTAACGCTAGAAACACGGTGATTCTTCCTGATGTAAAAAGTGAGTCTACTCTTTCTTTCGATAGTTTTGGCGTTTGCATGATCATAGAGCACAACGTTCTGACTCTTCAAAATCAGTAAAAACGCTCAAAAACGCTGGCAGCCAGGGGATTTCTGATCAGAAAACAGCGCAGTGAGTGAGTTAAACAGGATCCACCATAGTTCCTTATTTTCTTGTGGGTTGAAGCTGCTGACAGTCGCTTTTAAAACCATTTATTTAACCAGGAAGTCTCATTTTTAGTTGAACATGAAGGGACTTTCTTAAATTAGCGTGTTTGACATAACCGAATCCTTCACTAAGCGATTCCGGGTTCTAGCATGGCGGTGGTTAGGATGATACGTTTCACCTCTGAGTGTGCACTGACGGAAGCATATTTTTTGCGTGTCACTTTTCCACTCAAAACGCAGCACTGAAGAGATGAAGTTGGAGAGGAACGGAAAACTTCATCCACAAAGACCAGCAGTTTGTTTTACTGGAGAATTAGACTGGAAAACCGGCATTCCCAGTTAGAACCAGAGAGGAATGTTTCAGTAAATCTGAGTAAATACCTGCTGCTGGAATTAAATGAATCAAATACAAAATCAGAAAATACAAAAAAAAAACAAAAAAAACAATCGAATCCAGAATTATAATAGTTTTACTAATTTTGCTTGTTATTCTCATCATTACATATTTCCAGAGATTGTGAGTTAATTAAAATTAAAAAACACAAATTCCATATTTCTGACTGTGAGGATTATGTATTTTGATACTCGACACCCAATGTGTCACATATTAAAATATGCTGACTAATCCCAGCTGTCAGCCGAACGAGGGATTAATTGTATTGGACACAGAGACAATCGCATATTTAAACCTGGAAACAAACAAACAAAAAAATTTGAAAAATACAAAAGCAATGAGACAAATGAAAAACCTGCTAAACTTTGGAGAAGCCATGGCGGTCACACCGCCTTCACACTGGCTCAGCAGGAGCAGGAACACCTCCCGTTCAGGTTCAGTTATCCTGGTTATTCCTCCTCTCCTCCTAATCCTCAACCTCCATCTTTGAGAGTGGAGCTTGAAAAATCAGAAAAATGTGACGGCTGGATCGAATCAACAACAAAAATAATTTTCCTACAAGGCATTCTGTTTCGGACACACAATCATTTATGTTGAAACGTACCTTAAAGGGATACGATGTAAAGTTTTCATATTTTTAATCATTTTCTTGAGTAAGTATGTGCTAGAATGACCCTTAAAGGAGTCATCACCCGTTACTACCGTGGATATCTACATCACATTATATTATTTAGGCCATGAAAGTCATTTGTATTGGAAAATTAATTAAAAAAGTGCTTTTCTGACCCTTTTTTGTAAAGGACAGGTTTTCTCACGAGAGCACACGCGATATTTCGGCTGTGCTGGGCGTGTCATTTGGAACCGTAGGGTGTCCATGAAAGATCCCGCCTTTCTCGCCTCTGATTGGCTAGAAGGACTCAACTACGATTGGCTATTTTATTTAGCAGCAAACTGGCTTCCCGGCCAGTGAAAATTCATTAGGAAGACATTATATGGATTTTTTTCAAGTGGAAAAGTGAAAACTTCAGGTGATGACTCCTTCAGCAGGGTTACAGAAATGTAACTCAGACCCCCGCAGCCCTCTGTGGCCAGAATATCACGCTTGCAACTTCAGAGTGCTGGACTTAGAAAAAATGGAGCTGACATGCCTGCTTGCAGCACATTTCCTGCATGTTTTAGATCACGAACAGAGCTGATATGTTTAGTTTAGTGATAAATCATTCCTGTAGACACTAATGAAGCTGTTAGATTAAGGTGTTAAAAACAAAGACGAACGCTCTGCAAAAAGACATTTTGCTTTTGGTTCTACTAAACAGACACTAGGGGGTGCTAAAGCAAGCCAAAACTGCTAAACGTGTCTAAAAAAGATCAATTCTACACACAAGTGACCAGCTGTACAGGTGTAAGTCCTGCTGATGCATGTAAACTAAATACTAAAGTGTCACGCTCTGCCCCGTCCTGTTGCAGTCAGAGGTACGAGACGCTGCTGAAGGACATGGAGAAGAAATCCGAACAGCACAGAGAACTTCTGACCGTCTTACAGCAGGAGCTGCAGAAAGCTCAAGGCCTCACTCCTGGGAAATTATGATCACACACACACACACACACACACACAGCAGAGTGGGTAATGATGTAATGTTAACCTGCAGCTCCGAGCACATCTGCTCGTCCTTCTTATGGTGGCTTTTCTGTTAATAAACGTCTTTTTTTTCATGAAATAAGCTTTTATGGCTTCTTTTTTTATTAAGAAAGGTTTACTTTAATGAAACAAAGTACAAATGGTCAGCAGCAGCAGGGTGTGTGTGTGTGTGTGTGTGTGTGCATCGTGGGTTTAGCCACCTGCTCTGCTCTCTCATCATCAGAGATGAAGTTGTTTTAATTAGACATACAGATTAAGATGAACTTAAAGTGATCATAAAACAAAATCTGAGTCAGAGCAGAAAGGGAGAGTTTGATTCACTTTATTTCTTGATCTGTGTTAACGACACACCATGAACCTTCTACTTCTCTTTCCTCTTCAGAACGCTAATAAAGGCGTCTTTAGGGACGTCCACGTTGCCGACGCGTCTCATCTTCTTTTTACCTTCGGCCTGTTTCTTCAGCAGCTTCATCTTCCGTGTGATGTCTCCGCCGTACTGCCAACAGCAAATAAAAACCCAACACACCCGTTAAACACGTGAGCTCCACCCGGAGGCGAGGCGAAGAAAGAAGTGTTGACTTACACATTTAGCCAGAACGTTTTTCCTGTACGGTTTTATTCTGAAAGAAGCAAAAATCACTCATACTTTAGTTTAATGAGCAGCTGGAGTGTGTGTGTGTGCTTCATTTCTCCTTTTTACGTACGTTTCTCTCGCTATGACCTTACTTCCAATGGCCGCCTGTACGGCAATCTCAAACATCTGTCTGGGAATGGACTCCTTCAGTCGCTCACACATGGCTTTGCCGGAACTGTATGAACGTGTCCTGGAATGACATCACAGCCCTCGGGAGTAAATGAAGGGAACTTTTAATGTGTGCTAATGCAGGGTATCTGCAGTTCAAGGGAGCCAAATTTAAGACTTTTTAATACCTTTTTTAATGCCACTTTGATCAAATTTAAGCTATTTAAGCTCAACAGGTTGGGCGGGTAGTCCAGTAATCGGAAGGTTGCAGGTTCAATCCCGGCTCCGGACAGAGAATTCTGCTGTTGTGTCCTTGGGCAAGACAAGTAACCCACCTTGCCTGCTGGTGGTGGTCGGAGGCACCGGTGGCGCCTCTGTCAGTGCGCCCCAGGGCAGCTGTGGCTACATCGTAGCTCATCACCATCAGTGTGTGTGTGTGAATGAATGAATGATACAGTGTAGTGTAAAGTGCTTTGGAGTCCTTACTCTGACAGGCGCTATACAAGTACGGCAGTACAAGTACAAGTAAAGTTATCATTTAAAAAAATTTAAGCTATAATTTCCAGCTATTGCCTGGAACCGGTGCTAACCACGCCGCGATCGTGGGATTAGCCGTCCAGTTACCATTAAACTTGCACTTCCCCATGGCGCAAGCTCCCACTAGCTTAACCAGCTAACGTGCTCATCTAAAAATATCCCCCCTTTCACAACCAACCGAACGTGTACGGTTCCGCTTACGCCAACATCGTACACAAAAAATGCTGAACACTAACTAGAAATTCATGAAAATTAAGACCTCTGGAAACTGTATTTAAGGATTATTTGTCATTTTTAAGGATTTTTAAGGCCTTAAATTTGGAAAAGCTAATTTAAGACTTTTAAAGACTTTTTAAGGACCCGCAGATATCCTGTAATGATGGAAGAACAAACCAGTGACATCCATAGTGGTCAACAACGTGCACTTACAGGCGTGGACAGAATTGTTGGTACCCTACGGTCAGTGTAAGAAACCCACAATGGTCACAGAAACAACTTGAATCTGATAAAAGTAATAATACATAAAAATTCTATGAAATGTAACCAATATGATGCTTCAACCGAATTAATCAAAAAAATAAACTCGTGGAAAAGGCCTGGACCGCAATGATGGTAACTCTATAAAAGAATGAAAATAATGTGACCAAAGGGACGTGTTAATTCAAGGTGCGTCCACCAGTTAGCATCGCAGGTGTCTACGGTCTTGTAATCAGCCAGTGGGCTCCAGGTAGTCGGTGTGTTTGGTGACACGGTGTGTACCACACAACCCAGACCAGAGGAAGTGAAGGAAAGAGTTACCTCAAGAGATTAGAAAGAAAATGATAGACAAGCATGTTAAGGTAAAGGCCATAAGACCATCTCTAAGCAGTTAAACGTTCCTGCGACTGCAGCTGCACGGATTATCCAGAAATTTCAGCTCCACGTGACTGTAGTCGGGATGTGGCCCCAGGAGGAGAACTGATGACGAATCAAAGAGTTGGATCATCCGAATGGTAACAAAAGAGCCCAGAAAAAGTTCTAAAGAGGTCCAAGGTGACCTTCAAGCTCAAGGAACATCAGGGTCAGATTCGTCGTCGTTTGAGCCAAGGTGGGAGATGATCAAGGAAGACGCCGTCGTTGAAAACGAATCCTAAAAAAGCCAGACCGGAATGTGGAAACACCGCATGCTGACAAGCCACAAAGCTTCTGGGAGAATGTCCTCTGGACAGACGAGACAAAAACTGAACTTTTAACGAGGCACATCAGCTCAATGTTCACTAATGGAAAATGAAACATCCAGAAAAGAACACTGTCCCTACTGTGAAACATGGAGGAGGCTGTGTTATGTTCTGGGCTGCTTTGCTGCATCTGACACAGGGTGTCTTGAATCTGTGCAGGGGACATCACAACACTCGGTCTGGCTGAGCGCTTCCTGGAGAAATAATAATGAAATTATGAAAATAATAATGCGTGTTTGGAGGAACGTCCTCCGACCTTCTCTCTTGTGTGAGCAGACAATGTCTCTCTCTCTCCCCCTCCCTTTCTCTCTCAGTTGCTGATCAATCAACAGCCCAAATCCAACAGAACCGATTGGGCTGATTCGGTTCGGGTTTGGTCTCAGGTTACAACTCCGACGCTCAGCGCTGCAGTACCACATAAAGGCGGACCTAGTGAGCCATTCCCATCTGTACCGGGTCGGCCCGGGCCGGGTAGCCCCGGTCGGCCCCAGCCTGGCCCGGTTGATTCCACACATCCTTGCCTTAAGCCCATGTGGGCTGATTCTACCCACCAATCAGAGGCTTGCTCTAGTGGAAGGTGTGAATTTGCTGTCAGCAGTGGGTGTGTTGGCCCTGGTCGGCCTGAAGCAGACCCCCTCGAGAAGAGGGCTGAGAATGAGCCTTGGTTGGCCCGGAAAAATACCAGGCCACCCAGATATGTAAACAACCTACGCTACCCGGCCCGGGCCGACCCGGTACAGATGGGAATGGCCCAAAAGTTTCCTACCCAGTAAATGTGGAGAACACCCGCTCTGACAGATGTGGATGCCACACTAGTGCCGCCAATTATGGAGTACTCTTCTATGATGCAGAATCGTTTATGCCTGCATCGCTTTGATTATTTTCCTCAGCTTTATCCTACACCTCCGGTCCCGTAGGGGGTGCGCGCGGGGTTCGGGGGCCACCAAGAGAGCGCTCATAGGCCGCACGTGGCCCGCGGGCCGCCTATTGAGTACCGCTGCTCAAAACCATCAAGGGATTCTAGAGAGAAATGTGCCGGCCAGTGTCAGAAAGCTCGGTCTCGCAGGTCTTGGATCTTGCAATGTAACAATGACCCAGAACACACAGCTTGTGGCATCGCCACAATGGATCAGTGTTAAAATCAAAGAAACTATTCAGTTGCACAGAAGATAAGATAAAATGGTCTAAACAAGTAGCAGAGTATAATTGTAAAACTGCGCCACTGTGATTTTCTTTTCCACTGTATGTAATTGGGTTGGGTGAGTCGGGGTTGTTTATTTGTTTATCAGTGTATTTGTGTTGTTTACCACACCCGAGCTATTAAGAGAGGGCTGCGTCAGGTGTGGAAGAGAGGAGCAGAGAGGACAAAAACGGAGCATGGTGCAGGTGTCAGCGTGGATCTGCTGCAGCATGTGATTGGTTATCAAACTAAAAGTCTACCACGTACCTGAGTGGAAAACTCAGTAGGTCTACGGGGGACTGTTAAAAATAATAATAAATAAGATTAGGGGTTTAAGCCAGAGAGAAACCCCCGACGATCCCGCACTGGAGCGTGCCGGGATACCTTCGCTCTCCAGCTGGATGAGAGGAACCACCCCAGCTCACCTGCCTCACCGCCGATCAGCGGAACCAAATCGGTGGATGGACTGGGTCATCGACTGCTGAACCCGGTGAGATCGACCCTTTTTTATTTTGTGGTATACCACTCACTGATTTTCTATTTTTGCTAGCGGCCGCATATTTCCCCCCTTTTATTTCTTTGGACTGCTTCAGTTGCATTCGGGTCGGTGCGTTGTGCACCAATCAGAGACTTCCTAAGCGCATTATGGCGGCGCGGTAGATGGGACATTTAGGGGATTCATTTCCAGGGAGTCTGGCTGCATCAGGACGGGAGACCGGGACCGATCTCAAGTGGTTGGTGTTCCGTGTCTTATTTGGCGGGGAAGGTTGTATGGAAGCCCTTTGGTGCCAAGAGAGGGTGTTCCTATATTTAAATATGTTGGGTTCAAGGGTTGTTCTTTCAGAGTACCCTCATGTGTGAATTAGCAGTCCCCCTCCTGGACTACAGTTAGGTGGGTGATTGTTATAAGCGAAACACACCTAAGAACAGCCAAGAGGAAAATATTGGACTATTCTAAAATGGCCCTGACCTCAATCCTATGGAGCATCTTTGGAAGGAGCTGAAACACGCCGTCTGGAAAAGGCGCCCTTCAATCCTGAGACAACTGGAGTAGTTTGCTCAGGAGAAGTGGGCCAAAATACCTGCTGAGAGGTGCAGAAGTCTCACTGACAGTGACAGGAATAGTTTGATTGCAGTGTTTGCTTCAAAAGTTTGTGCAACAACATATTACGTTAGGGGTACCATCATTTTTGTCCAGGCCTGTTCCACAAGCTTATTATTTTAAATAATTCTGTTGAAGCGTGGTTGAAAAGCAACGTCTGACTTTCATTGGCTAAATTTCTATTTTTATTTATCATTACTTTTGTCAGATTCTAGTTATTTCGGTGACCACTGTGGGATTTTCTTTCTTTCATTGACCGAAGGGCACCAACACTTTTGTCCACATCTTTACCTGCTACAGATCAGATCTACCAGTCACAGGGTATCTGCAGGTTTAAGGGAGCCAAATTTAAGACTTTTTAAGACCCTTTTTAAGGCCACTTTGACCAAATTCAAGCTATTTTTAAAAATGAATTTAAGCTATAATTTCCAGTTATCGCCTGGAACCGGTGCTAACCACGTCGCGAACGTGGGATTAGCCATCCAGTTACCATTAAACCTCCCCATGGCGCAAGCTCCCACTAGCTTAACCAGCTAATGTGCTCATCTAAAAATAGTCCCCTTTCACAACCAACTGAATGTGTACGGTTCCGCTTACGCCAACATCGTACACAAAAAACGCTGAATACTAACTAGAAATTCAAGAAAATTTTATAGAAATAAAAGAATCTTGTTTATTGGGTCATTTAAGACCTTTGGAAACTGTATTTAAGGATTATTTGTAATTTTTAAGGATTTTTAAGGCCTTAAATTTGGAAAAGTCAATTTAAGACTTTTTAAGGACCCGCGGACACCCTGCAGTCAGCTGGAAGACACAAACGTGCAATGTCAGTCTACAATAGTTTAACCCCCCCCCCCAATGGATCGATGCTCTACTTTCACGCAGCCAGAGTGTTTAGTTGTGTGTTAAACAGCCTTTGATCAACAGCGATGGAACCTGAAAGTCATGTAACAAAACAGGTATAAAGCTGTTCTGGAGCTGGGGTCTACTTTGCTGCTGTTGCAGCTACATCTCCCCACTCAAGAGACAATAAAGGACATTTCTATTCCTTTCCAAAGATAAAACAAAAGCTTTTTATATAAAAAATACTTAAATGAAAACAAATGGGTTTAAAATAATATCCACATTTTAAACAAAAACAGTGAAGGGCTGCTGTTAACAGTTAGAACGTAGCGGCACGTTTTTTCTGTTACGTCTGACTGGTTCAAACCTCCAGTAAAACAGCCTTTTTATGCCAGAATGACTCAGAGAAGCTCGACAAAGAAACTCTTCTAAAAGCATCAAGTACTGGTCTGGAAGGTCTAAAGCAGAGGACCTGAGATCACTTTGAAAGGTTGAGCAGAAGGTCTGGCTACTTGGAAGGAAAGGGAAAAGAATGAATGGAGGATAGATGTTTGTCTTTGTTTCAGGGGCGTGTCCAGGGAGTGGCCTGGGGTGGCACATGCCACCCTTGGAATCTGATTGGCCACCCCAGGTGCCACCACACTAATTTACCTTTAAATAGGCTTTTCATTGTCCACAAAAGGATTGGGGTAAAACAAAAAAAGCACAACCATTGGTGCCACGCATGCACAAAATTGTGCCTCACCTGGGCCACCCCATTTAAAAGATCTGGACACGCCGCTGCTTTGTTTAGTGATACTTGGATGTAATATTCAATCAAAAGCAACCTTCCGATGAGTCGTTTTAACCATCTCATAAAATACCTGTGAATGATGGTGGTGAGCTCTTCCACTGGTTGCCCATTCAGCAGAATGTCCATCTTTATTAGATCAGCAGCCTGGTAGCCAGCGTTCTCATAGTCAAAGCTGCAGGAGAACAATCAACACAGAGCGGAAGATCTTTACCGAGAACAGAGACCTTTCTGAGGAAAATAAATCCAGACGGTTCTTGGTCTAGCGAATGGTTTCCTCCCAGAGGACGGCGAAGAGCTTTGGACACAAAGGAGCAGCGACTCAACTCTGAGCTCCCTCAGGAGGAAGGAGCTCCTCACCTCACCGCTGAGCCAGAGGCCCTCTGGATCATGATCAAAATTTTGTAACAAATGGACTCAGTTTACTAAAGCAGGCTCTTCACTGCAGGAAAAGAGGACGGTCTACAGAAGAGGTCCTGAGGTTCAGAAAACAACCTCAATCTGAACACCAGCAAAACAAAGGAGGTCACTGTTCATTTCAGGAGGCACAGCACCAACTTGGACCCCTTCTACACCAGTGTGGGTGTGCCGAGATGGCCCACATCTTCCAGATGCTTGGTGCCCTCATCACCAATGATGTGCCCTGGTCCCACAGCACCACAGCAGCAGCTTTACTTCCTGAATGGCCTCAGGAAGAGAGTCCACTGATGTCTGTACAACAGTGTGGTATGGTAACTGCACCGGGGCAGATACAGCTGCCCTCTCCCCTCACTGAATGTCATCAAGGACAGTCCCACCCTGGCCATCACCTGATCCACATGCTGCCTTCAGGAAACCGCTGCAGGTGTGTCAGCACTTCATAACTCCTTCAGCACAGGAACCTCACATCTGAACACTTATTCACTACGCTGCAAATCTGATTCAACATTAACCTAATTTATTCTCTCCTTGATTTTTACAGCACCTTAGAGCAGAATACCCCCCGCTCATCAGTGGGTCTGTGTGGAGTTTGGTGTCCCCACATGAGGGGAAGCCGGGATGGAAGCACAAGGTGCCAGCTCAACCCACTGACCCACAAGCCCAGGTGAGAGGACAGACCAGTAAATGAAGAGCTTCACCTACAACACCAAAGACCAGCGGCCTCATTTATAAACCTTGCTTGCTTTTGTAAAAAGAAAAGAAAAAAAAAAAGAAATCCGAGTGTGAAAACTGTGAGTCAGCTCCTCAGCAAGCTTTGTGATTGATAAAGAAAAAATTGTGCGCATGTTTTGAAGCAGGCGTGAGCATATTTTAGCGATGAGAGACCGGCGCCGCGGCTGGTGAGATGATGAAATGGTCAAGTAAAGCTGCATTTACAGACGTGCAGCAGCATGTCCTGCCCTTTGGGTTGACTTAAATGTTTCCATAAAAAGTTCCCCTTTGATCTGGAACATCTCGGCGATCCCGGAGAATCACAATGCAGCAGTTCAGGATGGCATCAACGATTATTGCCATCTTCCTCCTTGCCTCCATCTGGCCACTTGATGTTAATTTTTCATGACTGCCGTGATTCCACATGGTGTACAAGCACCTGAGTATATATATTTTTTGGGTTGCCATGGTTGCCCATGAGATGCCACAGATCAGCTGGCCCATTTATATGTAGAGTACTCATAAGGTCCATTTACGGCAGAAGGTGGGACATGATCCAAAAACACCTGAGAAGGTCAGGCGTGATGTTCAAAGCAGAGACTGCATGCAGCCGTGTGTAAGCAGAGTTTTATAAGTCGCATGAGAAGTGAGTTTTTGCTGAGTTTTAGTAAAGATTCTACGCAAAGTTTTCCAAACGAGGTCCCAGAGCCGGTCTCCCCTTGAGGCAGAGACTCACACATCCAAGCTTCTCCTAGCTGAGACCCAGGAGCTGGCTCCCAGCCCCTCCACCACATCACGGCCTAATGGCTTTTTTGCACAATTTGGCTTCAGTTGATCTCATTTTTAGGTTAAAATGTGCAACAAATGAAATATCTGATAAGCATGAAGGACCGAAACATCAGAATGTCCAAAGTTTAGCAGACAGGACTGTCTGGATTTTACCTGGCGTATCCAGATGAGAGAGATTTGAGAAGATCGTAGAAATCCACGACTATTTCATTTAGAGGGAAGAGATATTTCATCATGACACGCTGGTCATCGATGTACACCATGTTCTTCTGGACCGCCCTGCGATTCTGAAACAAGACAAGCCAGGATGTCATCAATCCCATGTGGATGGAGAGCCGTTTCACAGAGGAGACGGCTGTTCTTACAGCACCTTCAACTATTTTATCTGGTCATAGAAACTGTCAGGAGCTAGGGAGCTGCTCATCTGCTCCACTCTAACCCAAAGAGACGATTTCTGTCAACAAAATAAAAATAAAAGCCTTTGGTGACGCTCTCTGGAGAAGTTCTGAGGACAACCGGAGCTGCAGGTAGGGGGCAGCAACGAGCCACCGTATCAACAAGAACAAGGACCAGTACAGTTAACCAATAGTTATCTATGAGAGCTCTAAGGGAACCCATGTGGGTCAAAAAGATGGCACATAAACACTAATATTTGCATGTTTTGGTGCGACAGAGGCTCAGCGGTAGCCCTGTACTCAGTGGGTTGGTAGGGTCAGACGTATAAACCATCCCTACCTGGTGGTGGAGGCCTCACCTCTGCCCAGGGCAGCTGTGGCTGTGATGCAGCTCATCACCACCAGAGTGTGAATGACTCACTGTAGTGTAAAGCGCTTTAGAGTCCTCTGACAAAGAAAGGTGCTTTACAAGTGCAGGTGAGTCGTCATTGAAAACCCACTAATATGTGTGGGTTGTTTTTGTTGTGGGAGTTTCTGAAAACATTTTAAAAGAATGAAACTTTTGCGGCCTTGAGGAGAATCTAAAGCCATTCAAAAGTGTTTAAAAACACAACTTCCACTGTTATCATTTATTAGAGATAATAAATAAAAACCTAAGTGGAAACGACAATCGGGATCCAGACGCTTGCAGAACCTCCAGCCGAAAAAAGAAAAACACTCCCAGATGGTTTCTGTCTGGTTTTAGAGAAATGTCGACCCACTCTCTTCTCCTCTCTGAAGGTTCTGGACTTTGACCGGATCGCTCCAGAAACTTGGTCTACACCATGCTAAAGGTCTTCCGCTGATCCTAGCTCTGTTTTATGACCCAGTCTGGTCCAATCTCCAGCTGCCAGACAGATGGACTCTAGAAGACGAGTTCATGGTGGAGCCCAACCATCAACTGTCTGGTTTTAAATGGCCTGTATTCACTTACGGAGACCTACGGCCCCCTAAGGCGCTATTCAATACAACATTTATTCGCTTGCACATGCACACTGTAGCCACAACAGTCCCTGGGTCGCACTAACAGAGGTGCATTATGGGTAAACTCAGAAGTCTTGTGGCTTAAGCCTAATTTATACTTCTCCATCAGCTCCACGAGCGAGAGACACGCACGCACGGGCGGAGACGTTTCGCCTTCGGACTTCTCCGTCTCCTGGAGAGCGTTGCAAAGCAATTCCCCACCAGGACAGCAGAGGGCGTAGCGCTGTTCTGTGGTATCCTGTCACGTGTCCGGTCCAAGATGGTGTGTTAACATTGCGTTTTTTTTTATTTAAGCGACTTTTTAACACGGACAAATTTGTCACATCCTCCTCAGCCTTCATGTGCTCGCCACCTCTAAACCAACGTTTCCGTCCACGAATAAAACGCTTGCTTTGACTCCTCCAGTCACGGGGGAATAAAACGTTCATATTTTTTAAAGTTTTTCCACGAGGTATTCTTTAAGCGGCTCCCTTTCTGCCGCTAGTTATCCCCGGCTCTTTATGTTTTTGAGGGCCCAATGGCGGCGCTGCAGACGACAGCGGCGTCCTGACCAATCACAAGCTTGCATTCTCCGTCTCGACGGACGGATGTTTAGAAAAGAGAGCTCGACTCCGTCTGTCCTCGCGAGGGCTCTCCAGCAGGCCCGCGACGCGAGGATAGATAATGGCGTGGCGTACGTCCATCCTGACGCAGACGGAGTATAAATCAGGCTCAGTCAGATGAAACTTTACTAAGCCAGTTTTCCTCCAGCTGTCCTGTCACCACCTTTAACCTTAACCCCATGACCGACGAATACGTTATAGATTCAGCCCAGATTCATTCATCTGCCTCCTCCTCACCAAGCAGAGGCTCATGATCTTGCCCGTGTACGCGTCCGGAGCCAGAATGGTTCCCAGCACCATGGGCTCCAGATACTCCGCCACCACCGACCTGTCCGGAAAGTGAGCCGGGTTCACGATGGTTATCTCCTCACTGCCATGCTCCTGCAGAGACATGAAGATGTAACCATCAGCTGGTTGTAGGGATATCCTACAAAAACACATTTATTCAGAAATATGAAAATTAATTAAAAAAGAGGATTCACTCCCAACTATCGTGGCCAGAGCGGTATCCAGGTTTGATCTGCGGTCTCTGCAGAAAGCTTTTGATCGTTCCTCTAAGGATTTCCCATCAAATATCCCACATTTATCATTCAGGATAGGCAGGAAGGCGTCCCAGAGACAGAAGACAGCCTCCATCTATTATTCATTCAGCTGTAATCAGCTTTAGCCAAACTCGGCGGACAGCGCTCACTTTGATGAGTCTGGCCGAGGAGAGGACGGCCTTGTAGGGAACGGTGGGGGCAGTTATGATGACGGAGGCATTGTACTCCTGCTCCAGCCTCTGATTGAACACCTCCATGTGGAGAAGACCCAGAAATCCAAGCCTGCAGGAGGACAAGAAGGCGCAGTTAAGTTTTAGCACTGCCACAGATCCAAGGGCTCTAAATGACACCTAACCGACAGCCTCACACCCTTTGGTCTGGTGATTTTAATCGGGATCACGGTTAAACCCGACAGACATTTTGTCCCAAATCATTTTCAAGTTCCAGGATGCTTGAGTTATTTTCTGAAATTTTGATTAAAAACTTGGAAAACTCACACCCAGAACTCTCATTACTGTTTGGATGTTTCTAATTGAACGTATGCTATCAGACCTCCAGCCAGCTCCCAGGGCCAGACTGCTGTCCTTCTGCACCGTCACACTTGAGTCATTCAGGGTCAGCCTCTCCATGGCACTGCGGAGGGCGGGGTATTCTGACTGGTCCACTGGATACATGCCTGAGGAAATGGAAACCAAAAAATAAAAGGAGTGCACATTAGCAGCAAACAGGACTTAGTGATTGCACCATGCTGGCTGGAGAAACACAAAATGCACTTAAAGGAAACCACAAGCGGTTAACCCACAGGGAGCTTATCCATCATACAGGGATACCAGTCCCAACCTTTAATGGTGCCCCAGGTTGTAATGGGGTTCATTGTAATAGGATTACATCATTCTGCACTGGAATCCAGAAGCAGCTGAGGATGAGGGCAGCTCTTACCAGTAGGGATGTAAGAAAATATCGATATGGCAATATATCGTGATATTTTTTCCAGCAATATTATATCGATATTCGAAAGCCGTGTATCGGAAATATCGATATGGCAATATATCGTGATAGTTTTTCCTGCGATTATTACATCGATATTCAAAAGCCGTGTATCGGAAATATCGATATGGCAATATATCGTGATATTTTTTCCAGCAATATTATATCGATATTCAAAAGCCGTGTATCGGAAATATCGATATGGCAATATATCGTGATTTTTTTCCTGCGATTATTACATCGATATTCAAAAGCCGTGTATCTAATTCTTGAAAGAATTTACATGCAAACTTTTATGTATTTTCTTTTTGTTTTGTGCAATTCAATCGCCACCCGCTAGTTGGCAGCAGTGTGCAGCGGGTTTTGTTTCCACCATTGAAATGTAAATCCCTCCATCATGGTTCAGATGCCTCATGTTAAACATGTTACGTATCAGTTTGGACTGTTTATTGAACATTCTTACAATAAATTCAGTAAAAAAATTGCTTGTAACGTCTGACTGAATGTATCGCAATACATCGTGATACATCGTATCGTCTCCCCTGTATCGTGATATGTATCGTATCGCCAGAATTTCAAAAATACACATCCCTGCTTACCAGCAAACACCATGGCCTTTGCAGGTTTGAAGCCTGGAAGGGCTTCAACTGGCTGATTCTGGAGGTGGAGTGTGTCTCCGATCTGGGCCTCTTTCACATCCTTCATCCCTGCTACCATGTATCCCACCTGGCCGGCAAACCTAGACAACAAGATCATGCACCGTGGAAACCGTTCTCAAAACATGATAAGACGTTTGTATTTAAAGACCAAGCGCATCGAGAAACCCTTTTTACTTATTATTTTTGAAAAACGACCCGTCACTCTGAGTTTAACATGCAGGCAGAACGTGAAAATAGTCTTCTACATCCATCTCCTGCATTAGCCGCAGACAGAAAATAGACGAGGAAATGCTCGGACTAGAAAAGCCACTCTGACCTACGTCATATCGAAAACTAGCATTCATGGTTGAACCCATCTGGGCTCACGACGGGGAAGGCTGCTGTCGGTTTAGTGTCCAGGAAACCGCAGAGAACGTGTTGGCTAGCAGAAGCTAACCGTTAGCATTAGCAACTCCACCACTCGGCACAACTTCAGGCTTGTGTCATTTGTGGAGATAAAACAATGTTGCAAACAGAGTCAGTGGTAGAGTCACACTGCTGTTAGCCAATCAGAGGTGAGATGTCCAAATAACAGCAAATAAGACTTCATCTACAGTAGAGACCACTGCAAATGTGTTGAAATAACAAGTGAACTTGGTATTTAATCATCAATGTGCAAAAACCTTAAGAAGTTGTAAAAGTCTAGAGGCAGAGACTAGTTTACTGATGGTTTTATTGTATTTGTCTGCCAGCTTAGGCCTGGTTCACACTAACTCTAATCAAATCCCTGCTTCCAACAGTCAGAAGGACGCGTTTGATTACTGTAATGGCTCTAAAGACAATCTTATCAGATAATCCTGCTGTGTATGGTGTGTTAAGAGTGCTCTGCTCTGATTGGAAGCATGTTGGGACTGTTCTGATCTAGGGCTGGACAATATGGAAAAAAAGGCTCATCAATAAAAAAATCCTACTCACCAATGATTATTGATAATTAGAAAAAAGCGTATGGCTTCGAGGAGATTCTGGTCCACCATCAGGGATCTCAGGAGGGGAAAGCAGTGTGCTACCAGCACGGTTTACAATGGTGATGGTGTGCTGCTGACCTCTATTCAGGACGTTGTGGATCGGTGGGCGGAATACTTTGAAGGCCTCCTCGATCCCGTCTTCCAGTGAGGAAGCAGAGTCTGGGGCCTTCAGGAGGAGCCATGTGGTTTTCGTCCTGGATTGAGGATTGAGTCTCTGTTTGATGATGTGGTCCTGTTGGCCTCATAAGAAGGTGATCTCCAGCTCTCGCTGGAGTGGTTAATAGACAAGTGTGAAGCAGCTGGGATGAGGATCAGCTGCTCTAAATTCGAGACCATGGTCATGAGCTGGAAAAGGGCGGAATGCCTTATTTGGTCATTTGAATCTCGGGGTCTTGCTCACGAAAAATGAAAAATGGAGCGTGAGATCGATAGGTGGATTGGTGCTGCGTCTGCAGTGATGCAACCATGTACCGGTCTGTCGTGGTGAAGAGAGAGCTGAGCCGGAAGGCAAATCTCTCGATTTACCGTTCGATCTACGTTCCTACCCTCACATATGGTCACGAGCTTTGGGTAGTGACCGAAAGAACGAGATCACGGATACAAGCGGCTGAAATTAGTTTTCTCCGCAGAGTGGCTGGGCTCTCCCTTAGAGATAGGGTGAGAATCTCGGTCATCCGGGAGGGGCTCAGATTAGAGCCGCTGCTCCTTCATGAGAGGAGTCAGTTGAGGTGGCTCGGACATCTGGTCAGGACGCCTCCTGGACGCCTCCCTGGTGAGGCTTTCCGGGCACGTCCAGCTGGGAGGAGACCCAAGGGTAGACCCAGGACACGGTGGAGGGACTATGTCTCTCACCTGGTCAGGGAACGCCTTGGGATTCCCCGGAGGAGCTGGCGCAAGTGGCTGGGGAGATGGAAGTCTGAGCCTCTTGGCTTAGGCTGCTGCCCCCGCGACCCGACTCCGGATAAGCAGCTGAAAATGGATGGATGGATAAAAAATGTAGAACATGTGTTTTAAGTGCAGCCCTGGCCATTTTATGTCATAACTTTATGATAAAACAAGTTGGCTGTATTCCGAGACTTGATCTTTATGGATTCTCCACAAATTTAGCAAACAGCAGTTTTTATGTCGGACAAAAGTACTGCCACGATGGTGAACCCCGGTAACCTTGTTCTGGGACTATTTGCTTCTACTCTCCTCGCTGTGACATCTTGTTTAAGTGACATGCTGTCTGTAGGTTAGCAAAGGGAGGGTGTGCCTGGATCAAGGTTTTTGATTGGCTGGGAGTGTCATGAGTCTAGTATTAAACTACCTGATAGGCTATAACAACAAAAGAAACTTTTTATTGACCCATTTTTTCCTCTATTGAATCACACGTCTATCGATAGATATATCCTTACTGAATTATTGCCCAGCTCTACTCTGACCATAAACCTGGGACATCAAACGAGTTGGATGATCTTGTTCCGATAGCCGAGGACATCAGGACAAACAGGCGTGCTACCAGTTGAATGTGACGTGTAGCCAATCAGAGAGCGCGTTGATAGAAGCACGCAGCACAATCCTCCTCACACTAGATCTCAAGGCTTCCCCGTTTATCGAGGAATTGTTCTTAAGAGGAATCAGTTTGTGTTTAGCACACCACACACTGCAAGACCAAAACTCTTATCTGAGACGTTTTATCACCACGTGTGTGGTCTCTCAAGTTTAGACAAATTTTCAAGACAGTTTTTAAACCCTGTGGTGTGAACCAGGCCAGACATGAAACTCAGGACAGCTCAGAAGTCTGATGGTTTTGTACATCTATAAATATGAATGGGTTAAAAGTGAAATAGTAGAACTTGGGTCAAACAAAAAAGTTGCCTTTAGGTTTAAGATTTTCTAGAAAACAAACAAAGAAGCTTCTGATGGGAGTTTTGTTGTTGGAGACACAAACGTACAGTTTCTGTGTCGGGTGCTCATCTGGTCTCAGAAGACCCAGCTCGTTGACCTCGTAGGTTTTGCCGAGATGCGCCGACACGATCTTGTCCCCTTTGTTGACTCGCCCTCCAACCACAGCGATGTTTGCCACCACTCCTCTGTAGTGGTCAAAGTTGGAGTCAAACACTAAAGCCTTAAACGGCTCATCGATGCTCCCTGTGGGTCTGGAGGGAACAGATGAATATCACAAGCTTTCACAAAAGGAACAAAACAAACGGTAAAACACATTTTACCGGGGAGATTCTTACGGTGGGATCCTTTCCACGACCGCCTGGAGAACCTTTTCAACATTCATTCCCAGTTTTGCTGAAATCTAATAAAAAAGGAGGCGTTTTCATGAAAAGGCCTTACGCCGATGTAAACGAAGGCTCACGTGTGCTCCCTCTTACCCTGATGCATTCTTCCTTTGGAATATCAAGTACTTTTTCTATCTGTGACTCCACTCGATCTGGATCGGCGTTTTTTAAATCAATCTGGGGAAGAAATGTCAGAATCACCTGCCTCGTGCAGATGGAATTACCCCAACAACAAAAGGACAGAATGTACCTTATTTATCACAGGTATGATGGCCAGCTGAGCTTCAAATGCCAGGTAAAAGTTGGCAACGGTTTGAGCCTGAATCCCCTTCACAGAACAACAAACCTGTCAGCTAATAGCAATCGGAGATCACAAACACAAGTACGCACAAGCAGAACAAACGAGCAAATACCTGATTGGCATCAACAATCAGCAGGACGCCCTGACATGCAGAAAGTGAGCGAGACACCTCATAACTGAAGTCAACGTGACCCTGGACAGAATGAATGTGGTTTTGATGTTGAAAGATCCAAACGATGAGTACCTCCTTTTTATCTGGGCGCGGTTCCGCTTACCGGCGTGTCGATGAGGTTCAGGAGGTACTGCTGTCCCTTATGGTGGTAAAACAGCGACGCCGTCTGGGCCTTCACAGTGATCCCTCTCTCCCGCTCCACCTGAAGCTTGTCCAGAACCTGCTTGTTCTTCTCAGTTTTTGCAATCGCACCTGTCCCCACCCCCACACTTCATCAGTGACTATCACTGGTGCTACACGGCTTTCTGCTGACCTACACGGCTTTACATTCACGTTTAAATAACTTGTGGTACCTGTCATTTCCAGCAGCCTGTCAGCCAAGGTGCTTTTCCCGTGGTCAATATGAGCCACGATGCAGAAATTCCTGATTCTGTCCACGGGGAACTTGGACAGGTCAACGGCTTCCTTAAATCAGAAGGAAAAGAGTCAGCAGCAGCATTCCAGTGAGTTTAACAGGTAAGACAGCCAATACTGGTAGCCAGTGATGCTTTCAGGTACCTGAAACTGTCAAACAGCTCGTTTCCCCTTCATGTGATGAGCTTATAACAAAAAGTGACAGAATTCTGTATTGAAGGGCAGAATTGAGGGTTTGGAGGAAAACGAGGCAGGTGTGGCTTGCTTTTAGCACCCCCTAGTGTCTGTTTGTGGAACTGAGAGCAAAACCCTGCTTGTTGCTGTGCGTTCATCCTTTCAACACCTGAATCTATAACAGCTGAAATGTCTCCCAGCCTTCATTAGTGTCTACAGGAGCAATTCATCACTAAATTAAACAAATCAGCCGTGTTCATGATCTAAAACATGCAGGAAATGTGCTGGAAGCTGACTGCAGCACCAAGTCCCAACAGACCACCCTCCTCAGGCGGGTGGACGGAGCTGGATAGAGGTTATCCAAACGGAAATGTAGAGAATAAGCTCAAGAATGACTGTGTCAAAACAAGAGTGTGCATCATTTGAAAGTGGGCATGTTGTTGAAATAGAAAAAAACAACAACTTTGTGGTCATAAACATCCCAGCTGCTGCTGATCACAAGACAGAAGAGAGGATAATTGTGTCCGGATGTGGACTGGAGATTACATTTTACAGCAGCCTGATTAACATTTATTAAATATCTCGTTAAATGCATAAACCTTCACCTCTGTCTTACATTTAGCCTGTCTTATCCTTAGGTTCATAGCCTTCCAATCCATGCTATCAATACTATAATTGTTGTATATATAACTATTATGTAGGAAAACAGCAATACATATGGTCCAAGTCTGTCTGAGCTGTAATCAGCATACCTCAGAAGCAGCACAGCAACAGATGCCCTCATTGATGACTTTGTATCCAGAAAAAGGAGATGTGTGCAACTGCAGAACGCGTCTTCCATTGTTGAAAGAGGCTGTTCATTGAACATGTGCCTACTAAGTTGTAAACCTAAATGGCATTAATAGGTCGTGGTTCTGTTTTTGATTTGTCAAGAAGTGCAAAATAAATTATTTTTTCTAAACCTTCACAAATCGCAAACTTTGTTTTACAGAAACTGCTCTTTAGGTTAGAAAAAGTCTAGGTGTTGTAGTTTTTATATAAGAGCAGATTAAAGATGATTTTTCTAAGAGTGACAACACTCATTTACTCCTTATAAATTTCTCTATAATTCTAATGAGCTCGAATGCTTTTTCGAGAATGATTTGTTTTGCAGAGCAATATAGATACCTGCAAGCGTAATGCAATTTCCAGTAAAGCAACAGTTGTTTATGGAAAGAAGAAATTTGATGTATATTTTTAAAGCCATAAATGAGATTTATCACTCAAAACAAAAATAAATCTAGTTTGAAGTGTTAAACCAGAGGCTAAATTGACATTTTAGCTATTTAATTTGAATTGTTATTTAAGACAGTCTAAATCAATCGCAGAATCATCGAACAACGTTGTCTTTCCTTTTTTTAATTACCATACTAATTTAAAAATTGTTTACGTGATACATTTTTAATAGTTGCTTTAGGATTTTCCAACAGACCACTCTCTATATGCGTCCACTTGTTAAGAGAAGTTTATTCCAGATGTTTGTTACCTTGTCAGGTTGTGTGTTGATCATCCTGAAGCTGCTCGCTAACACAGGGAGACCTTTCATCCAGCGGTGTCGGAACACTGCGTAGCTTTGGGTTTTCCTTCTGCACATTTTAAACTGCAACACACGTTTCAATAGTGGCGGCATTTCACAGAACCGTTTAGCCAGAGAAAGCGTCATGTCTTTCAGCGTTTTAGCCTCACAACGTAAACATGTAGCTAAATGCTAGCTAGCAGCGCTGCACTTTTGTAACAGTTTGACGTTTAAAAAGCAAAAATCATAAAAAACACGAGCGGGCATTCAGTATTTGGTCCAGACGGATATTTAAAAAAAGAGAAAACGAGATAGATATAACTAATCCTTATTAACCATGAGCCCTCAGGAGGATGACATTTTAGTTGACAGGTCAGCGCACAGACTTCTGGGAAATGTAGTGTTTTACTAAGCTAATGCGTTTAACTGAAACAAAATTGTATTTTTAAAACCAGTAATCATGATGCCGGCCAATAGAATAAAATAAAATGTGAGAGGTAATTTAGCCACAGCAATTTTAGAATGACCCGATAAGATTAGTTATTTGTTTAAATACACAGATTTATATAACCAACAACGACTATCTGTGGTATTTAAACCGTTTTTATGTTATTTTTAATATCTGAAAGAGGCGTCAAAGGTTTTTCTTGTTGACATAGTCTTTGAAAGAGATTGACAGTGTGACACCCCCCCCCCCCCCCCCCCGGATGGAGGATAAAAATGGATATCAGTTGCCATGACAACGAAGCTGCCTCTTGCACATGAATAGATTATTGCTTCTCATCTTTGTGCAACCATAAGCCTCTATTAGCCCCACTTTCTGCTTGTCATCCTTTTTTCTTGCTGGTGCCCCCCATTTGTTTTTTCTTTGCTTTGAGGGTCGTAAACATACCTGTTTGCTGTAGGCCTGCTAATGCCTAGATATTCAGCCTGCTGGGAAATACAAGTGGTCGGTTACAAACACATTTACAATTAGGATTTGGTCTGGCCCAAGAGTAACATTTCCTCAGGAACATTTTGAAACAACAGGGAAATTAAAGTTTCACGAGGAAAATGTAATTATTGGCCTAAATCTTTACTTATCTCACCAATCTTAGGTTTCGCTTTAGTTATGAGATTTCTGTTGCAGATGGTTTCCAAACACTGCATAAAATTCACTTATTTCACAGCATTTTTTTCCTGTGATGATTTGTTTGACCTTAGGTAAGAGTTTGCAGAGGCGTTTTGTAAAGATGGAACATCACTATAAGTCTTTTTGTTTCCCAATAGAGAACTCACACTGTAACAGGGACTGGTGGGTCTTCATGTCCAAGCTAAAAATTCAAGCCATGATATCTTGTGGACATCTTGTATCTTTGGAGTCTGAGCTCTCAGGATGTGAGGATGAAAGTTCCACTTACTCACCTGCATGGAATCATCATGATTTTATAGCATCAAATACAGGTGAAACTCAGAATGTCAGTAATCCAACCTAGACTGAGAGACCATCTAAAGGTTTCAGGAACCCTTTGCATGTGTTTTGGATTCATTAGCTGATTAGAGTGTGACACTTTGAGTCTAGAATATCGAACTTTTTCACAATATTTAAGTTATCTTAGATTTTGAAAGTGGGGTTTTCATAACCTGTAAGCCATAATCATCACATTTATAACATGTAACGGCTTAAAATATCTGGCTTTGCATGTAATGAGTCTGTGTCATTAATTAGTTTTACCTTTTAAGTTGAATTACTGAAATAAATGAACTTTAGCACCATATTCCCAAAATTCTAGTTTCACCTGTACATATTTAGAAAATATGTAATTAAAACATTTAACAGGTGAATCAATAGGAATCAGTTAATTACAGTTATTTTTTAAACAACTCTCTTGCTTTTTGCCAGCAGTAGTTAACTTACAAATGACAAATAAATAAATAATTGCAAAAATGTATTGCATCGTTAGCTCACACAACCATCCTATACTCACTGATGGTAAACAGTAGCCATGACCCTCCTTCCTTTATTTTGAAATAAGAAAAATGGACCCCCCCCCCCCCCCCCCCCCAGCTGCAAGAATGAAATCTGTTTCACTGTAACCTTTATTCCAACACGATTGAGACAATAGACTGGTTTGGGATTATTTCACTGTGGAAATTTTACTTTATTCTTACACACTGCACCTTTAAATTACTGGCAACTGTAGAACCTAAGGCCAAAGGCAAGATATGTGTCATTTAAGACAACCCATCCTGAAGCAACTCATATTTGAATGCTCCAATCTGACTGTTACAAAGGTGTATGTATATATTTATGAAGAATTGGAGGCATGTATGAAGCAGCTCTGCTGTGCCGTGTAACCAGTACTCCCCATCTATCAGCACTGATTTGTGTCAGGTCGCAGTCTCCAAGGGGACAAGCGGGGTCAGCTGTGGACGGAGCACAGAGCCCAAGAAAGAGGTGGGAAAATGAAACTTCAGCGAGCTTTTCATTCCAGCTCAATGCCACAGGGCTTTTGTGGGGGTTAACCACCACACTAAGATAATAGTTGTTGGCAGCAGAGAAGCGTCATCATCCTCTCCTGGAGAAGAAAAGCTGAGCTGCTCCACTAATGTTGCTGTGAAAACACTGGGCTGTAACCAGTAACAAACAGCCCTTTGACTGTAAGATCTTGAAAATAAAACAAATAAAACTTTCAATAACTATTATTTTATGTGTATGTGTGTAAGAGAGTCTACGACTTCATAAGAATCATAGAATTAATTTCATTCACACTCCTATAAAGTATCCATTGGATGTACATTACATCCAACAGCAGATGAACTTTTAGAGTGAACTCTATTAAAGATGGCGGCCACAGCTAATCAACAATCAAGTACAAAAATGGTCAATATGAAGTCATCCACAGCATGTACACTGATTACCACCTGTGTGACATCATCTTCTTTGGCTTTTTCAGTTGGGGTCAATCATATCTTATAACCTTGCGCTGCAAGATCAATTCTCGCGATATTTTGAGTTCTTCAAACTGTGTCGACTCGACACGGGGCGGTGCTGCTGCCAGGTTACTTATTTTAGCCAAGAAATCTGATGAATATTTTCTGGATTAAAAATTGATCCAGAAAATATTCGTTAGAATCAAAACTGATTACACTACGGAGTCAGCAAAAATGAAATGGACCCAGCTCAGTAAATGCTACAGATAATGAGGCAAAGTGTCATGTGTTAGGAGGCAAAAGTCTGTCAGAACACATAATGGAAGTTATTTATTTAAAGGGACCATAAGGATGTTTAACAACCAAAATGTATAGAAATTTAAAGTGACAGTGTGTATTGGTCTTGGCCATAGGGGGCAGTAGATACCTAAATCGTCGCAAGCAAGCAGTATTTTTGTGTTGCTGTAACACCTTACCAATGGATGTCCATTAGGGTCAAAAGCCCTGGGGGGTGCAAACTTTAGCAAAATAACAAGCACATCAGACTTGTGTGTAAAACAACATTTAAGACTGGTGAAAGTTTTGTAACCGTTTGTTACAAATCAGTAAATGCATATTGTCCTCATGAGATTACGTAGAAGGAAACATGGCATCTAACATGGCATCGCCCCAAGCCCCCACAATGGAGCTCTAAAATTGAGTCAAACCCGGAAGTACCAAACATTGCAGTTCCACCCTCATCCACTAGGGGCTGGTGTCAGAAGCGAGCAAATCCTCATTGACTCCCATGTTAAAAATATCAATTTCACAGCAGAAATAAACATGTTTACAGCCTGGTACCAAAACATGTTTTAGGTTTAAATGATCTAGTTTACACTCATGACAACTCTGAGGGGGGTGAATGTTTTTCTCACTCTTCTGTTTAAGTGTATTAAAAGCCTAAAATTCTGTATAATTAATGAGCATCAGACCCACGTGACCACAGAGCTAGCTCCGTGGAAAGGCCTCAGTAGAGCCTCAGTCTGGCTTGGAAACTGTTCCGGGATTTTGAGTCTCTGTGTGTGTGTGTATTCTTGTTTGGATATTATTTGTGCAATTGTTGGACAAAATGACTTGCTGTGGCATTAATTGCACTAATAGAGCGTCCAAGGAGTCTCCACTTCATTTTTTCGGTAAGTAAAATTATATTTATGTATTTTAGGTCACTGCCGAGCTGAGCTTAGATTTTAACATGTACTGTTTAACCATGAAATTTAAATGTAATAGAGTAAAACCCAGTGCATTTAACATAATGCTGCACTTTAGAAAATGGGTTGAAATATAACATGTTGGTGGAGCTGGGTTCCCACTATCGGCTTGTGGAGCTCTCGGGAGACCGATGTTTTCCACCCGGAATGCCGGCTGTTTCTCCCCGCAGCCCGGTCCATCTCTGTCTGATCGCGGCTTCTGTGTGCTGGGCGGGCTGACGTGGAGCTCTGGGAAGGAAACCTTTCCACAGGTCTCGGAGACCTCTGTGTTCCACCCGGTTTTACCCAGCGGTCAGCCCGGCGTGTCTCTGACTCAGAAGCTCTGGTGTTGTGCACAGTTAACTCCGGTTGTAGCTAGGTTGCTACCTCCGTTAGCTTAGCTCCCACCTCCGCATTAGCTTTGGGTTAGCTTCAGGTTAGCTTGTAGCTAGTTCGACCGGGTGTCGTCAGTTGATCCCAGGCTTACAGCCCCACCCTCAGCTCCACCTCTCTTCCCTTTTATGGAATTGTCTGGGCTTGACGGAACCTGTGACACGGTCAAAATGGCGGTGGTGGCCACCTCCCATTTGGGCTCAAAAAAGTGATATTGGAGCTATGGAAACCCATTGTCCATAATAATGTCAACGCATCGCCCAGAGACTTAGACCCACTCCAATGTATTTTAGACTGAATTTCTATGGTCATTTATTCTGAAGCTGCCAATATTTTTCAACAACTGGGCATCATTTAATTAATTTTCAACAACATGTTGATGGGTATTTCCTGAAATTAATGGTGAAAACTACACATAGTCTCTGTAAAACGTCTTCCTCGTACATTTCCTGGCAGGCCAGTGGTGAAGTTTTAGGTCTCCCGTGCAGGAGATCTGGGTTCAGTACTCAACTGGGCCATGATATATCTGGGCTGCATGGCGGCGCAGTTGTTAGCACTGTTGCCTCGCTTGGAGTTGCATGTTCTCCCCGTGCATGCGTGGGTTTCTTCCGGGCACTCCCGTTTCCCCCACAGATCACAACATGCCCTGTTGGTTAACAATTGTATGTCGTTTTGCATAAAAGCGTCTTCCAAATAAATAAACATAAACATTCTCCTGCAATGCCCTGGTCCTGTAGAATGATCCATGGGATTATTACTGTGATTGCCTCTGTATTCCTGTAAGATCACAGAAAAAGTGTATGTTCGGGTTGAACAAGCCTGCTTCTCCAGTGCCTCCCAGAGGCAGCATACTGCGTGATGACGTCATGCGCGTTTACGCTCAGGCAAAACCTGTAGCGTTTGCTATCTTTAGTTTAGTGGTAGAGCGAGAGGCAGTGTTGCCAACTCAGCAAACAACTCAGTTGAACAACTCAGCTGTTCCTAGTGCCTAGTGACAAACCTAGCAACATTTCTGAGGACCCTGTGCTACTTTCTGTAGAACTTTCTTGAAGATATTCCCTGCAGATTAGCAACAAATAAACCATTTGTGCTCCGAACCGCTCTTCCGCGAGCAATTAAAGAGAATGACAATCCGCGCATGTGCACTAGGACATACACCTTTCTCGACTGGGTTGACGAGAAAGCTGCAGCTGCAGAGCTGGAGACCGCAGATTTACCCCTACTGATGCTTCTGCAGACTCATGCTTCCATTAGAGATGGCGCAGGCATCAACCTGCAGTCTCTGACTCAGCAGCCGTCATAGACTTTGGCCCTTCCTGCATTTGGCAAATAAAGTCAGCAGGAGTTTGAACTACCATCCCGTTAACACATTAACTCTGTGGCTCATCCGAATTCCCTTCAGTGACACGGGGATGGTTATAGCATGAGACATCTGCTCCCAGTTGCTCGGTGCACCAGTGTGTACCTTTGTAATGATAGTAATTTACATTTAATTAAGGGCCGTGAGACGTTGAGGTTTCATATCGAGTATGAAATCCATCTTACGGACCACTGGGTTATTTAATCAGAAGATTGGAACTTTTTAGAGCAGGGATTAGATAACACTTTGTATTAACTGAGAGACAAGAGAAGAGAGAGAGTCCTTCAAAAGTTTAAGATGATTTATGACAAAATAATTTTAAACAATACTAACTCTCTAATGATGGATGTTCTGTTTGAATGAGGTGTGAGATGGATGGTGTGTGTGAATGAGTGTTATTCAGAACTCTCGTATCCGGAGAGGCAAGTCTGAGTGGGATGATGTTTTGCTTCTAACTGATAAGAGTTTAACCGGAGTAGTCATAAACACATGAGACGCCATATTGTCGCATCCACACACATACCCTCAGGGAGACCTCAGTCACAGATCCAGAATGTCAAGGTCCACAGACCCTCCTTTCGGTACTGGAGCCAATGGTACAGTGTCACAGCACGACAGACTAGTCCTTGGATTGTCTCCAGATAAAAAGCGACAGGTGGTTCACAGCGTCAGGGTCAGCGAGTTCAGCTTTTATTGCTTGGTTGGTAAAAACAACAGATTTTTCCAGCTTGATGGTTCTCAGCTGAAAAAGTGAAGTTCGGATGGCCGGTCCGATTACTCCGCTTAGCATGCGGTGAACTCAGTGAGATCTTGAGAACTGAACTAAGATAGCGTTGGACTGGTTTTATTAATCTGGATGTTTTGAATTCTGGTCGAATCAAAGTTGGCAAATTTATAAACACCACAGAGACTACCACGCTTCAGACTAGGAAGGTTCTGATTGGATCAGCAACAGCAATGTGTCATGCAATTGTTTAAATTACGTGTGTCAGTGTGTCTAGTGAACTAGAATAAGTCATTCACTTATTAAAACATATTAATCATAACATTGTGATTTCACGCTCTTTGGATTTTATATTTTAACCTTAATTCAACCTTTTTCCAGTGCTTCCTCTGTGAGAGCCCTCTGCCCCGGCGGTGGTGGTCAGCTTTGGTGGCCTGGGTGCTTTCCAGGTGTGCCTAGGTGGTGGTGGGGGTCTCTGCCCCCCCTGCCCTGGGCGCCCGGTGTCAGTGCCTCAGCTGCTGCTGTGGATCTGCTGCTGCCGGGGCGGATGGCTCCCCTGATGGTGTTTCCTTATCCTTATCTTAGCTGGTCTGGCTCATCTGATCTCAGTCAATTGTGTTTTTTACCATGGGGAAGGGGGCATGGTCGTGTGTGTGTGTGTGTGTGTGTGTATGAGTGTGTGTTTAGGTGTGTGTGCCGGAGGATGAGTGTTGTGAAGGGGTTTTTATTGTCAGACTGTGTTTAAAATTCTGGAGATGGGTGGGAATGTGGGTATATGGGGCCTTTTTAATTTGTTAAGCACTTTGAGTTGCATGTATTGTAGGATAAAGTGCTGTATAAATAAAAGTTGATTGATTGAGATGGGTCTCCTCTCACTCTAAAGTCAACGCAGAGCAGTGACTGTAAAAAGAGATGCAGAGTGAACAACTACGCCCATTTCTGTGCCGTTTTTAGTTGGGTAAACACCTTCCTCAGTAGAAATGAATGCACTGGGTGTCATGATGTGTGGAGTGGAGATGATGAACCGTGTGTGGAATAGTTGACCAGGAGGTAAAAATGCAGGCTTCAGAAAAATAAAAATGAATTTAATTACAGAACGGGAACGGCAGGAACAAAACACAACGATGACTTGAAACAACAATGATCTGACAAAGGACATAACGAGATGGGAGGTAAAAATACACTGGGAAAAATGAGGAACACATGGGCAGGCTAACAAGGGGCAGGTGAAACCAATAGGGACTAATGAGGCAGGAGAGGGACACAGACAGGAAGGCAGGGGCAGATCGTGACACTGGGGGCAAATGGAGACCCATCCAAAATGGCGGCCGGCCACTACGACAGCTCCAACAGACAGTTGGACAGCCAGTCCACGAGGCGTCTACGTACATATGTATGTGGGTTATTCTGTGTAGCTTCAACAGTTAGCTACATCTGCTCTTCAGCTTTCTGCTCCACGTTACGATCATCGTGTGGACGTTGTCGGTGTCATGATGTTCAAGCTGATGAAAACTACTGAATCATTTTGGCCAGACAGACTTTTTACACACATACTGACTCATTAGCTTTGCTTTGGTTACATGACAGCACTTCTGTTCTCAGCCAGCATGACAGCGACAGCCTGCTGACCTGAAGCAGGTTTTTATTTCTTTTATGTTGACTGTTTCAGAGTTTGTGGCTACGTGGCCACTGGGATATCCCTTTGGCTGACTGGTTATCTCGCCTGACTATCACTCCGGGGATCAAATCCTGCCCGGGCCCTCATTTCTCCACCTTGCCACAAACGCTTCAGGAGTTAGCTCAGTTAGCTAGTAGCTGTATTGGTTCATTTGCTCCAACCATAACAGCCCGACTCTCAGTTCCACCATTTTCCCCTTTTTTGGAATTGTCTGGAGACATGTGATGTGGTGTGGCCAATGAGGCGGGGATGAGAACCTCCCGTTTTGCTTCATTTTGAGAAATGAGTGGAGTGGACGGTGCGACATCCAGAATTATGTTATATATCTATGGGTTACATTGGTTTAAACCTCTGAATTGAAAGGCTGCAGATAATTCGTGTTCCTTTAGGAACTGCTTTAATACGGCCCATTTCACAGGGCAGGATTTTTAAATTGTCAGAGGATTTTAAAAACAATAGGAGGCCCCACACGTGGCAACAATAAACCATGGGTTTAATAGTTCTAGTCGCAGTGTTTGTTTTTGCTAATGTTTAAACGGGCAAGGAAGTGACGCCGGTGCACCGACAGCATCAGAGCTCTGGGGAAGGCTACAGGGATAGTCAAAACGTCAGCAGAACAAGGTAAAATTAATACTTTGCTGTATGAAAAAAGAACCATAACGCACATTGTGATATTTTCCATCCATGCTTTTTTCAGTCTTTCCCTTCCCTACTTCCATTAATCTTACAAATCAATATTGTCCCAGCATACAAAAAATAGACATAAAGACCTGAAATTACGTGTTTTATTGAAAACTGTGCACTGAATCAGCCATCCATTCTTCAAACAGTCTGGAATGTTTCAGTTTTCAATTTGGATGTGAGCTATACCTTATGACCAAAAATAAAGAAAACATGTCTCCTAAATTGTGTCTCCATGCAAAGTTTGGTTTAACAAATAAATGAAGCTGAACTGGTAAAATTGGAAGTAAAAGCGTTTATGAAAAAGACCAACACCAGTGTATCGTACATGACAGCTAACATGAGGCTGAACATAAGGGGTTTACGTAGAAAAAACTACCCTATTTTAAGCCAAAAGGTTTATATATCCTGTTACCCTCATTCAGGGTGTGTGAAATCCTTACTTTGATCACAAACTAAAAGAAAACTAGAAAATATTTGACCAACCCCAAAAATATATGCCTGTTATTTTAACAATAATGAAAAAAGATTACACAAATACTGATTTTTTTAAATATTCATTAATCTCTCAAAAGTTCAGTGGCAGTCTGAAATAAATTCCCATTATATATATATATATATATATATGTATATATATATAAAATCTTTTTTTAATACTAGAGCTCACTGGGGCACAGATCCAGCTCCTGTCTCAGTTTAAAGTTTGTTCAGACCTGGATGCACTTTAAGATCACTTCTGAGAACATGAAATATGTTGTAAACAACCAGAAACTGGCTACAGAAAATGAGGAAATCTTTAAACCACATAGAGCCTCATCAAGATCACAGCAGAGGTTTCTGTGAATTTGCACCACAATAATATCCCATGAAATTATTTAAATAATAAACTGAATTAGCTATAACATTTGTTTTTACTCTGTATGGAATCTTCCTTCCATTTTGTTTGCTCTTTAACGACCAGTGCCACTGAGGGTCCAGGAGATAAAAGAGCTGGAGTAGCTTCACAGTTTAGCCAAATGATCACAAGACTGAGACATCAGTTTGTTCAATTTAAAAATATAAACAAGTCATCCAAGCGATAAATCGCTTTTTAAAAATGTTAGTTCACAGCTTCTTGAATGTTGGAATGTTGTTTCTGATGGCCCAGGAGTTTAGAGCGCATTCAGACCCAAGTATGAAATCACTATAACTCCACAAGCAACCAACTTCATAAAGATAAATAAACAAAGTCTGAAAGAGATGGTGGGGGAGGAGTCAGAGGTGAAAGGTGAAGAAATGTTTGATGTGCTTAGACTCAGTTCACACGGCAGGACTTTTAAATAGTCGGGCGGTTTTAAAAAGGCCTCATGCGTGGCGATAAAAAACATCATGGATACACTAGTTTTTGTCCTACAGTGGGTGGTGTACGGCAACCAGTGATGGAATTTAACAAAGTACAAATACCTTGTTACTGTACTTGAGAACAAGGTTTTTGTATCTGTAATTTTCTTGAGGCCTACTTTTTACTTAAACAGATTTAAAAGCAATTATCTGTACTTTCTACTCCACTATATAAACCCCACCCTCGGTCTGATGGATACTGGCAGGACACTCCCTATTCTGCTCCAGACTGGAGTTCCAAAGGTAAATACTTCTGCCTCCTCCCTCCAGTGTGACAACACACTTCTACACACAAAACGCATATTTAAATGTTAGGAAAATACGTTAACTTTTTTTACTTTTAAGCACATATGAAAATGCTGACTTTGATACTTTTGCTTAAGCCAACATTTTCTTGGATACTCCCACTTTAAGTAATTTTTTCACCTAATTGATCTGTACTTTTACTTAAATAGCAAGTCACCCTCAATTCAACTTTTTTTGTTGATAAACTATATAAATGAGTGTCTAGTTACTCTGTAGACACGTTCAGTCAATAATTTGACACTTTAGTTAATTTTAGTTAAAGAGCAAGTCACCCCCAAATAAACTTTTTTTTGCTGATAAACTAAATAAATGAGTGTCTAATCATGCTGCAGACACGTGTTGTCAATAATTTGGCACTTCAGTGCATCTTAGTTAAAATTTAAATATTCTGCCTAAAACTGGCAGTGTTGTGCCGTTGTCAGGTAAAAACTCTGCACTGTATTTTAATTTAAATCTGCCATCGCTATTGGCTAAGAGGTACCATAGAATGTTAGTTGGTACCATATGATGTCACAATGTCGTTTTGAGCCTGTGTGTGTGTATTTGTTAGCGGCTCTGCCCTCTCGGTCTGCTAGGGAACAGCATTTGTTGCATTTTTCAAACAGGGAGAGGGAGCGGACTCTACTAGGGGGTGACTTGATTTTTAAGTAAAAAAAATCAAGTACTTCTTTCCCACTGGTGGCAAAACAGTAAATACTACACACAAGCCCATTTCACACACAAAAATTCTCCGGTCAAAACCTCTCCAAAAGAAATGTGACTTTTGAATAAACAAACATGGCGGAGGAAGAACGTGCATCGCACATCTGTCACCTCACTTTCTGATTTGTTACATGTCACATGAAATGTCACTTGTTTGTTTTCGGAATCAGACCAAGACAATCCAACATGTCTGAAAGCCACGATTTACGATCGGAGCGGTCCTGACGTCATTCCAAGCAGACCAGAGCGCTCTTAAGCTAGAAAAGCAAATCTACACTACAAGCTTGCTTAAAAAAATTATGTCTTTTAAAATGTTCTAACATAGTATAACTATAAATACAGCGTGAAATATGTTGTGGTGATACCAAAAAAATCTAAATAAAAATTGAGTGAAGTGGTTCTCTCGCAACTGTCTAAAAACCCTAGCCTGGCCTGTATGGGGTGCCATTTGTAAAGTCAAACAGTCATGATCTAACAGCAATATTTTTGGTTATTTAGCATATATAAGATAAAAAATTGGGAGTTCACTTTTTCAAAGTCATATTTTCATCATGTTATTCATACATTTATAAATGTTAAAGTTTCCAAATAAATATTTAGTTAGCAAGCTAAATATTTAATTTGTAGTTAAATATTTATTTTGCAAACTAAATATTTAGGTCTGATCTAAATATTTAGTTTGTAAAATAAATATTTAATTCACTAACTAAATATTTAATTTACTAATTAAATATTTATTTTGGAACTAAATATTAAATTTGTAAATTAAATATTTATTTTCCGAGATAAATATTTGGATCCCAGCTAAATATTTATTTTGGAGCTAAACATTTAGTTTGCAACATCAGTATTTGGGAAATATATTTATATAGTATATTTTGGGGTCAGACTTAAATATTTATTTCCCAAATACTGATTTTGCAAACTAAATGTTTAGCTCCTAAATAAATATTTAGCTGGGATCTAAATATTTTTTTTTCGGAAATAAATATTTAATTTACAAATTAAATATTTAGTTCCAAAATAAATATTTAATTAGTAAATTAAATATTTAGTTAGTGAATTAAATATTTATTTTACAAACTAAATATTTAGATCAGACCTAAATATTTAGTTTGCAAAATAAATATTTAACTACTAATTAAATATTTAGCTTGCTAACTAAATATTTATTTGGAAACTTTAACATTTATAAATGTATGAATTACATGGTGAAAATATGACTTTGAAAAAGTGAACTCCCAATTTTTTCTCTTATGATTCGCTAAATAACCAAAAATATTGCTGTTACATTATGACTGTTTGACTTTACAAATGGCACCCCATAGGCCTGCCAGACTCGTCCTCTGTTTATTTCTACACAGAGAACTAGTCTGGTAAATGTCGCAGGCAGAGAGGCACGTGAGGGGTGGGACTAGCCAGCTCAAAAATAACCAATCAGAAAAAAGGCAGAAATTCAGACTGTATGACTGTAGTTCTTTAGCTGTTGTCAAAAAGGCGTCTGGAGACGGCCCAAACATCTTTTTTTTTTTTAAATAAAGGCTTTTAGCGCTTCTACTTGTTGTGGTTGACGAAACATGTCCAAGTCATTTAGAACAGAGGAAAGAGCTGAAGCGAACTTTGCTTCAGAAGTCACCTTCGATGTGCGTTGTGGTGTGTGACGTACGCTGCTCAGCGCTGATTGGCTCGGTTAGAATTCTCAGGGGGTGGGATTATTTGAATAGGAGAGTTCCCAGACTCTGGCTGGTCAGGTTCTAAAAACCCAGCAATAACACAGCTCAAAGCAACTTTGGTTCTCGATAATAGCAGAGGAGAAACAGCCGGCTGCTACCACTTCAACTTAGGACAAACTTCCAGAGTCCCCCCCCCAAAAAAAAAAAACCCACCATTTGAAGTTATGGATAACAAAAGATGATTGGACGTAGAAAATGGCTACTGGTGTTTAGTGCTCTTTCGTTTCCTCTGGAAATGCAGTTGTCTGCTTCCGACGTTTGTGGCCCCGGGATGATAGCCAAAGGGTGGTGGATGGGACAAAGCCACATTGTCCAGATAGATGCTAATGTTGCTCAGTGTCTGATGGTGAGTTTAGACACAGTTTGATAAAATGTTCCGGTGGTTTCTGTCGTTCTCGGGTTCTTTGTCTCGTGCCGATAATAATGGTTTTGTTTCATTTTGTCGAACAAAATGCTCCTGATTCATTCCTTTTCTTTCTTCCAAAGAAATGTTTAAAAACAACATGAGAGAAGGTCTAAACCACACAACATCCCGCACATTTTCAGATCCTTTTCAGTTAAGATTGTTCCAATTATTCAGGGAAGCAGCATGTGGTTACAGCCCCATAGCTGCTGTCACATGTAAGAAAACAAGTTTGAAGTATCACACAGGTGTGCTTTTCACCAGCTTAGACACAAAGAATAAAACTAGCCACTCACAGATGGCAACAAACTAAAGACAAATAATGCATAATCTGTTCTTTCTCTCAAAAGAAAACGCGATACTGTGATACCAAGAAGATTGACATTACCAGCGTGATTCCCCGTGCGAAGAAGTAATCGTAAATAAAACATAAGTGTTTATGCGTTTACACCTTGTATTTACAGCGGCTACATAAAGCAACCGGAAAACATACTTTTAAGGAAACACGAATACATAACTGCACATTTTGTCACCATGAAACCTTAAATTTAAATACACATTTACAAAAGCCAGGCTTTCTCAAAAGTGCTGCAGTTGGTGTAGAAAACAGGTGGAGATAGAAGATGACACTGAAATCCAGGACTGTAAAAGTGTGTGTGCACAGTTGCTGGAGGTATTTGGTTCCTCTTATCCCTCGGACCAGAATGAGTCTCTAATTCGAGGGGACCATATCCTTTATAACTGGTTCTCTGTTTAGGTAGGTGGCCCAGTAGACGAGGTTGAAAGAGCCAAACAGAACGGGAAACATAATCCGAGACATCCTGTCAATTTTGCTGACACTGTTGAATGTCTTCTTGCTTTCTTGGGCTTTGCCGTCTGCTTTGGGCTTGCTTGGATCGGCAGTGCCGCCTTTGGCGATGGTCGGCAGGGTGCTGGAGTCCTTGCTGATGTTTGGAGCGTAGTTGGCCACAGCCACAGCGTAGGCGTTGTTCTTCTTCACCATGGATGCCCTTTCTTTTTTCTGTTGGGAAATCAAAAATGATTAGTTACTGTCAAAAGTGTAACCTTCCCTGTTCACATCTGTACATGTATTTAACATGAATGCAAATGAAGGACGCTGGTCGCGCCTGTTCACTTTTGGTGAATAATTTGTTTGTTCTCTGAGGCACGACGAAAGGACCATCAAAGTCTTAGGAGTCACGCTGAGGCTGCAAGCTGAAACAACATTCACTATAATGTTTTGTAAACTAGCGACAGTCACGGTGATAGGGTGTAAAACTACCCTGAAATGTATGAACTGCCCCCTGGCGCCAGGGGACTACACACTGCCACTTTAATGTCTCACAGACAGTCAAGTAAATCTGATCATTTTAAAAGCTCGAAGCCAAACACCTGGGTGTCATCTGCATACATGTTGTAAAACGAGCTAACAGAGAGAAGGTACAAAGCGAAGACAAGAACTAGAACTCTAAACTATTCAGAGTCGGCAGCCTGACTTGACACCCTTAAAGAAGTTCCAGAGGAGTGTACTTTTGATTATGATCAGAAATGTAATTTTGTTCCAGAAAAGAAATAAATCGCTCCGCCACTATTTCTTCTGGAATTTTAGAAACAAAGGCAGCTTGGAAGTGGGCCTGGAATGGATCCACATGGGTTTTTTTGTCTGAAAGAGATGGGGACACAGCCAGTTGAAACATCTGAACCTTAAACTTTGCCAAATGTTTCAGAGGGTTAAAGGATGAGACTAAGATGTTCCTGCAGCAGAGGTTGTAAATGTCAGAGTCAGCCTTCAACAGGGGACGAGTCTCCCGATTTCACATATTGGTTGAAATTAAACTTCATCCATCAATTTCCTGATCAAAACTGTCTGCATCCATTTAAATCTCATGCTTGCCAGATTAGCACTTTTTTCCCTCCTAACCTACATTTTCCTACGTTGGATCTTAGAAACTGGACAATTAAGAAGTTAGGGACTCTCCTCACGAGATTTTTCAGTTTTTGTGTATTTATTGTCCAACTGATTATGCGGTTTTTCCTGTAGCCATAAATAATCCACACAGTCTATGCTACTTTTAAAGTCCACTTCTTAAATATTGCAATGATTAAACACATTGACTAAGAATGTGAGGCATAAATCAGCTTTTGCTCTTCTTTCCTGCGCTTTCCAGCAAATGCCTCTAAAGCCCCGATCTGCCACATTACAATGCAAATGAATTCTCCTTTAAAAGAGGAGTCTGTCAGAAGACACGTTTTCTTCTTCATTACCTTCTCGCTCACAACGCTCTTCCCATCCCAGGCCCAGCCGCGCTTTGTGAAGTAATTGACAGTGGCAAACTCAATCAAAGCGGAGAACACGAAGGCGTAGCAGACAGCGATGAACCAGTCCATGGCGGTGGCATACGCAACCTTGGGAAGCGAGTTCCTGGCGCTGATGCTCAGAGTTGTCATGGTGAGGACGGTGGTCACACCTAGGAGATCAAACAAGAGAATAATACTTTATGATGTTTCTATTTTAACATGTTTATTTAAAAATGCACACACAAGTCTTGTAAAGGTCTAAAATCCACAAAGCCTTTAATTACCCACTACTGTTACTTCCTGCCTGCTGAGATCTTTAAGATGTGAGAGTGAATCATCACAACACTGGTGTTAAATTACATTAGTGTCATGGGGAATTAGAATACTCTAATAATAATAATGTAGGAAGGCTTAAAATAACCCGGCCAGTGGTAATATGCTTACCAAACACGGTCCGGGCTGGAACGGATTCTCTGTTTAACCAGAAGGACACCTGGGAGAGGATGACTGTCATGATGCACGGCAGGTACGTCTGAATGACAAAGTAGCCGATCTTCCTCTTTAGATGGAAATGAGCTGTCATCACTGTGTACTCACCTGCCAAAAAACCCCAACATGAATTACAATAATAATAGTTATCCACTTCCTGACAGGCGCTCATAATTACCTGTCTATGCTGAGCTGTACTGTCTTTGTAATAGACGGGAATAATTATTATTGTTTACTTTATTTCCTTTAGTTTAAGCTTGAACGCAATTCAACAAATTCTGAAATTATTCATTTATTTTTCTGGGATGTTACTTGGATGAGCACAGAATGATAATCCTTTGGTCCGTAGCGTGATGACATCAAGGAGAAGAGAGGATCTTGAATGTAGCTCCTCCTCCCCTTCTAGAAGGAGCTGAAAGCTTCGCCACATTTCGCACACGCTCATGCAGAGTGTTGTAGCGCTTACAGACAAATGATGTTTTCAACATGTTCCTGCTCAGACACACCTGATACTGATGGGCCATTCCCATCTGTACCTGGTCGGCCCTGCCCGGACAGCTCCAGTCGGCCCCAGCCTGGCCCGGTTGATTCCACACATCCTTGCTTAGGTATGCAAGGAATGCAGTCAGAGACACTTTCAGCTTCTGGGTAATCAGCATGATAATGAATGATGATGAATTGAGCATGCCTTAAGCCCATGTGGGCTGATTCTACCCACCAATCAGAGGCTTGCTCTAATGGAAGGTGTGAATTTGCTGACTGATAAGCCGGCTTATCATAAAATACATGAATATGAAGTGTCACGTGACACGTTACTTAACTCAAGACCGCCACAATGTTTACCCAATCAGTGTCGCTTATGATTTTGTCGACCAATACAGTTGAAGAATATTCTTGCATGTACATTTAAATAAAATCATATATTTTTAGCTGGCCAATGGGGGCCCCAGAAAACACGTGGGCCCCTAGGCTTAAGCCATATCAAGCCTGTGCATTAATCCGGGCCTGGTCACGATCTTCTACCTTCCTAGATCATCGAGCTGTAACCTGTTTCTGATCATGTCTTTAGTCCCGCTGTAACACCGATGCCTCAGTCTCAGGCGTCATGGGTGTCTTTACCACCCAGCTTCTGTGTTCGGGTCTGACCTAAGTTAGTAAATGTAAGTCCTGCATCAGATTTGTGCCTCTTCTAGTGTCATTTTTAAAGGATTTTATTTATTTATTTAACCATTACTAGAACCAGAAATGCTACTAAAACACACAATTATGAGAAGCTGGAAAAACTGTGCAAAATTACATTTATTTCAGTAATTTAACTAGACTGAGAGACCATTTAAAGGCTCAGGAACCTTCACAGGAGTTTCTATTAGCAATTATAAATTTGAGCTGATTGGGGTCTTGTTAAATATCACACAGTAGCATTTCAATAGTCTAGATAAGTGTAATGTTCCTGTTTGTAGTTCCTCCTGTAAGTACTTATTTATTTCAATTATTCAGTTTTACAAAAAACATTTGGACCAACATTTTAATATGTTCCAGTCATTAGTCATTTATATTTCAGTATTGTGGTAGCTTATAGTAAATGAAGTAAGTTTAATTAAGAGGGGAACCCATTTTTCTTGCATTATTTAATGAAAAACTTAACAAAATAGTTATTAGTTTATTTGGTAATTAGTTACTTTTATAATCTTGTAACTCGGTAAGTAACTGAGTTACTTTTTTGACAAAGTAATTAGTAACTATAACTAATGACTTTTTAAAAGTAATGTTCCCAACACTGGTGGTTACCATGGGGACCCTAACCAGGCACTGGTGGCAACAATAACATTTCTTTTCATCTTGACTATCTTTTTATATTTCATGAAGGTGAAGAATTGTATCTGACACAAAGCCTAGATAGTAAAATATTATATTCATAATTAGATTTGAGCTTTTTTCACGTATTTTAGAATTTTTAGCAGTAGCTTCATTAAAACCCTAAACCCTTTGATACATAATGGTCGCTACAGTGGACAGGTACTCAAAATATTTTTTTTTTGTTGCTATTAAGCACAGCTGTTGATGACTTTATTGCATTTGAGCCCCTCCGTTTGGACTTCAGTAAGTCAAGCCGACATATTTCATGTTCAGAATGCACGCTGTCCACCGAGGTGGACATGTAATAAATTATTTGTAAATTATAAAATGTTACAAAAAACATTTGTTGACATCTGTTTCATTCACACTTAAAGATGAATGAAAAAAATTGTTAAAAAATCATGGTTGAAGATTTCATAATTCACGCATCAAAGGATTAAACCTTTTATTTATTTATTTCCTTTCACTATCCTAGCTTTCATTCATTTTTAATTTACAAAGGTAGACTTTGCAAATCTTTACTCTATGGGCTCAGCCATCTTTGATTAGAAGGTAGATCTGAAGTTTGTGAGGAGTTTCAAATCTTACATAAACATTTCTGCATTCTGTTTGTGCTGTAAAGCGCCTTGGGGGGCTGTACAACACTAGAAGCTACTAGATGAAATAATTTACCATGTTAACATAAACTAATTTTTACCGTATCTTCAGAAGCAAAGTGTGCTTGTTAAAAAATAAATTATTAGAGTATTTGTAGTATTCCCCCCCCCAGCGCGCGCACACACACACACACACACACACACACACACACACACACACACACACACACACACACACACACACACACACACACACACACACACACACACACACACACACACACAAGCTTTTAGCTAATTTTTAAGAGGAGTAATTGTCAGATATACATGAACCTTGTACAGTTAGCGACTGTGTATTTCCATCCCATAATTCTTCCGTACATGAAACAATAGATGGCGTGTTTTCCCACTAGCAAAGCCTAATCGCTGGCAGATGCACAAAATGGTGCCAGCGCTGTGCTAACAGGCTGGCTTTCCAAGTGGAAGAGATCTCAAAGAGAGGCCAAGATTAGATATGAGAAGAAAAAGATGCGTTACCCATGGCAACAGAACAGAGGAACATAACTCACTTGCTGCAATTTTGAAATGAGGGCCTTGATTCAGGCTGCTACTTGGCAAAGAAAAACTCCTTTCCAGCAACAAAAAAGAGGGGGGGAGAAGGGTGTTCATCCCTATGGATCAATCCCAAAAGATTAACCGTATGCGATTAATCTAATGTCACAATAGTTGTACTTCCTGTGTTCTAGCAGTGAAGTTCATACTAACCTCCTCGTTACGCTGAGTGCACTCTTGAGTGTCTGCATCATGTGTAATTTAATTTGCACATCAGCCTCCGTAATGCAATGTGTAATGGGGTGGGGGAGGAACCTGTACAGCTTAGGTTTTCTTTAGAGAGGCCTGATTGTTTCACTTAGAGCAGGGGTGTCAAACATGCGGCCCGCGGGCCGGATGCGGCCCGTAAGCGGGTTAAATCCGGCCCGCGAGATGGCTGTGTAAACTTTATTTTCATACTTTACAATGTAGAGAGAAAATAAACTTATCTTTGTGAGCAAGTTTCCTCTGTAATGAGTATAAATAAAACAAAGCTGCGCTCAAGGCCCACACAAGAACTTGAATCACATCCTGAAGTTGGCCGCCACTCAGGATGTGACTTCTGATGTTGATGTGCTGGTGAAAGCTAAAAGATGTAAAGTAAAATGAGTCAAATATATTTTAAGTGCTGCATGAAACTGATCTAGCCATGTGATCTGTAAGCTCTTTGAATCACTAAGGAATAATTTTTTTATTTGTTGATTTTTTTTATTTTTTTCAAATTTTCAAGTACACTTCAGGTGTTGTACTTGTACTACACTGTCCTGAGGCTCCAGCCTTGTTTTATATTGATTGTATTAAAACAAGGAAAACAATCTGAAGTTTTTTTTTTTAATTTATTGGTCCGACCCACTTGGGACTGGATTTCCCTCAATGTGGCCCCTGAGCTAAAATGAGTTTGACACCCCTGACTTAGAGGAAACCTAATTATTATATAGATAAGAACACCTGCTGTCCTACAGCTGTAGGGAACCACCCTGAGACTTAGGAGATGCAAATGTTCTATTGTTTACTCGGTGTATCATCAGTCTCATTTAGGATGAATTAGGGGGAGTGATGAAAAAAGTATTTATTAATAAATGTATAATTGAAAAGACATCCTGCCTATAGGTACCTTAAGTCACGCCCATCTACTTTCGGACCACGGGTCCCCGGAAGAACAAAAAAAAAATGAATGCAAGTCAACGGGGCTAAAAACACTATTTTCTAATTCCGCTTGTTTTGTGCCATGGATTTCACATATGATGTCCGTGAATTTTACAGACAGATTTTGATACCAAGAACACGGTTATTTTCAAACAGGGTGAAACGCAATTTTAGGTTTTGAGTGAAAATAAGTCCAGGACTACAAATACGCTTCACGAAAGAGACGTCATCGAACCAGACACGGAGAAAACTGAGAGTTAAGGGCTGTAAGTTCAGCAAACTTCCCACAGGAGGAAAGAACCACCATAAATATGGCCATTTGGGAAGTAGCAGCTAGAGGAGATTATGTGAGACGTGCCCATTTCTGGTGTGTAGTCATGCTAATTACGAACTTTTACAAGCTGATAAATCTCAAAGTACAAGACTGGCGTGGTCGAAACACCCATCATTACTTTTCATTTAAACTGCAGTACAACTGGGCGTAAGGCAAAGCAGAATAGAAAATACGGGTTTTAGCCCCGTTGACTTGCATTCATTTTTTCGTTCTTCCAGGGACCCATGAATCGACCAGAAAGGGAGGAGACTGATGGGCTCGACACACGGGAGGCGACATCGCCTCTCCTCCATTCATTTTCAATGAGACATGCGCGACAAAGCGATAATCGCGGGTCTCCCTCCTACTAAGCGAAACGCGAAAAACGTGCGTGGGAAATTTTGCGCTCGTGGACGTGTCGTGCACAGGTGACCCAGCGACGCAATCCCAGAAAGCTGAAATATTTTCAACTTTTCATCGCTGCCGCTCGGACGAGGACCAATCAACGGAGGTTTCATTCACTGACCAATGAGCGGACAGTATGCTCCGTACAGCTCAGATCGTCCTTTAAGTCCCTCATTAAATGATGGTATTCTCCGTTTCTTTCTCTGGTTTGTAATATGGGATGAACCCATTGTCGGATTTTTTTTTTTGATATAGTAAAATCAGAAGTAAGATTTCACATAACTCTAGCAGCACCTTGTGAAACATCATTTCTACCGCCTTTTAAACTCTGAACCGCGTAAATAACCTTAATTCCCTCCAACCTGACACAGCCAATCAAAACAACGGAAGATTCGATTTCGTCATGGAACAGAAAGCTTCGATGGCTTTGCCGCTGGTCGCTGCTGCGAGTCGCCTCCCGTGTGTCAGGTAATAAAAGCGATAGTGACGAATTTTGCTGATCGCGGTCGTTTGTCGACTCCCATGTGTCAAGCCCATTAGGCTCCCTATGTAAGGGCTCAACACACGGGAGGCGACAAACGACCGCGATCAGCGATATTTGTTGCTGTCGCTTTAATTACCTGACACACGGGAGGCGATCCGCGGCAGCGGCCAGCGGTAAAGCCGTCTACGCGTTCTGTTCCATGGCCAAATCCAAACTTCCGTTGTTTTGTTTGGCTGTGTCAGGTTGGAGGGAATTAAGGTTATTGAAGCGGTTCAGAGTTAATAAAGTGGTAGATATGATGTTTCACAAGGTGCTGCTAGAGTTATGTGAAATCTTACTTCTGATTTTACTATAAAACATAATAATAATCAACTTCTCCTCCATGTTTGCTCGGAGATGTGCGGAGCATCCTGTCCGCTCATTGGTCAGTGAACGAAACCTCCGTTGATTGGTCCTCGTCCGAGCGACAGCGATGAAAAGCTGAAAATATTTCAACTTTCTGGGATCGCGTCGCTGGGTTGCCTGTGCATGACACGTGCACGAGCGCAAAATTTCACATGCACGTTTATCGCGTTTCGCTTGTTAGGAGGGAGACCCGCGATTATCGCTTTGTTGCACATGTCTCATTGAAAATGAATGGAGGAGAGGCGATGTCGCCTCCCGTGTGTCGAGCCCATTAGTCTGGATTAAGCTGTAAATTATTGAGTTTTATATTCAAAGCTCTTTTTATAATAAAGACTCACACATTACAAGGGCATGTTGTAATTGCATTGTTGGTTCTTTTATAAAACACAGAAAAGGTTTCTTTTTACTTTGCTGACAGTTTCGTTCGCGGCTGCAAACAGGAAGTTTCTCAACTTCAAAGCTCTCCCCTTATCTGTTGAAAAAGCTAATCTGCTCATCAAACTATGATGTTGGTGACCGGGAACTGCTAGCGATCAAACTGGCCCTGGAGGAGTGGCGACACTGGCCAGAGGGAGCAGAGCACCCGATCATTATCTGGACAGACCACAAGAACCAGTCATACCTGAAAGAAGCTAAGCAGTTAAACCCCGTCAGTCCCGTTGGTCCCTGTTTTTTTTCTCGTTTCAACTTTACGATCTCTTACAGACCGGGCTCCAAAAATATCAAGCCCGATGCCCTCTCCTGCCAGTACGCTGCTGACAAGGACCTGGAACCTGCCACCATATTGGCACCAGCCTGCATCATTGGAGCCGTGGCCTGGGACATCACAGACAAGGTTCTCGAGGCACAACAAACTGAACCAGACCCAGGTAACGGTCCTCCTCACAGGCTCTATGTGCCCACCCGCATGAGAGGATCTGTCACACATTGGGCACACACAGCCAAATTCTCCATTCACCCCGGAGTAGGTAGGAACTTGAGTCTCATCCGCAGGTCCTTCTGGTGGCCGTCCCTCTACAAAGACGTCAGAGAGTACATCCACACTTGTCATGTGTGTGCCCGCAATAAGGGAAACAATCACCCGCCGTTTGGTCTACTCCATCCACTTGCTATCCCCACTCGACCCTGGTCCCACATCTCACTAGACTTCGTCACGTGCCTGCCACCCTCCAAGGGATTTACCATATTATGTCATGTCTCCCATCCTTTACCCTCATCTGCCTTATCATTTCCTCCTCATTCAGCTCACCTTGTCCTCTCACCAAGCTCCAGCCAAGCCCTGTTTTCCCCAGCAACCTCTGTCAGCTTCAATCAGCTCCATTCATTCCACCTGCTCCTGTAATCAGCCTCATCCCATTCACCTGCTTCCCCTGCTATAAAAGAACCAGCCATCCAGTCAACAGATGCCAGATTATTACAGCCTTGCCAGTAGTTCTCCAGCCATCCACCCTGCCTGATTTTTGTCTCCAAACCTTGTTTTTTCTCCTGACCCCTGCCTTGCTCGCTGCCTGCCATTTTGACCTTAGCCTGCCTCTGAACCTGCCTCAGCCTTGCCCTCCAGGTACCTCTGCTTTAAATAAAGACTTTTTTTATATATATTTTTACTGTGTTGGCGTCTTCAAGGGTCTTCTGAGTTCAGTTCATGACATATTATTAACCATTGTAGACCGTTTTTCAAAATCCTGTCACCTTGTCCCTCTTAAAGTTCTCCCCTCATCTGTTGAAAAAGCTAATCTGCTCATCAAACATGTGTTCTGCCTCCATGGAATCCCTACGGAGATCCTCTCCGACCGTGGCCCCAGTTCCTGTCAAGTCTATGGAAGGAGTTTGCTACCATCCTGGGGGCCCGAGTTTCTCTCACTTCAGGCTTCCACCCACAATCCAATGGGCAGTGTGAGAGAATGAACCAGAACTTGGAGGCCATGCTCCGCTGAGTATGTTCCTCAAACCCCTCAGTGTGGAGCTCACAACTTGCGTGGATCGAGTATGCACACAATGCCCACACCTCCTCTTCCACAGGGAAGTCTCCATTCGAAGTCGCCCTGGGATACCAATCATCCTTGTTCGCTTCTGATGCAGTGCCTGACACCTCTGGACTCCAGTTCATCTGCCGGGCAAGACAAATCTGGACACAAACCACAGCATCTCTCCAGCGAACCGCTGATCGTAACCGCCGCCTAGCGGACCGGTACAGATGTCCAGCCCCGGCTTACGTCCCAGGCCAGAAGGTATGGCTTTCCTCTAGGGACATCAAACTCAGGAACACCACTAGGAAACTTACCCCCAGGTTCATTGGCCCTTACTATCACCGATGTCATCAGTCCTGTCATGGTCCGTCTGTCCCTGCCCCCGTCTATGAGAATCCATCCCGTCTTTCACGTCTCCCTGCTCAAGCCAGTCTCCTCCAGTCCTCTGTGTCTGCCTCCTGTTCCACCTCTGCCTGCCTGGCTTGTCGGTGGTGGCCTGGTGTACCAGGTCCGTAAGCTCCTGGATGTTCGCCGCCGGGGTGTTCAGTACCTGGTGGATTGGGAGGGATATGGGCCCAAGGAACGCTCATGGATTCCTCGGTCCTTCATCGAGGATCCTGCCCTCACCTGGGACTTCAAGGCTTCCCGGTCTGCCTCCTCCTCCGCCTCCTCTGCTAGGCCACCAGGGGGCGTCCGTTGGGGGGGTGGGGTGGGGGGGGGGGGGGGTACTGTCACGGTCTGGGTAACTCTCCTGTTTGTTTTCCCTGAGTTTGCCTGCAGGTGAGTGTGGCTGAGGTTACCCAGCTGTTTGGCATCATCATCATGGCACCAGAGTATTTAAGGAGCAGCATGACACTTCTCCACGCTGGCTGATTACTCAGTTTGGGTAGATCTGTTCGCCAGTCAAGTGATCTGTTTGTTGGTATTTTAACCCGCTTATCCCACTCTGCTCAGGTCCTCATCTATTCCAACTACTCCTACAACAATAACCCCGGATCTTCACACTACGTCTCGCTGCTCCACTCTGGTCGCCCGCTCTCAGTCCCCTACCTGCTCCTACCTGTTGGATCACCTACTCACCCAGACCTGACTCACCTCTCCCCCTGCTTCCCTTCAGCCTGAAGAAACGTAAGCCAGAGACTGTCCTTACCTTCTTGCCTTCTGCCCCTTAAACCGTCAGCATACTCACCTTAGTTCTCCTTCCTAGATTCCGCCCCGCTGAGCAGTTCCCTGAGTCTGCCGTTATTCCTGCTATTTCGCAGCGCCTTCAGTTCCAGTTTGTTCTTCCCGTCGTTTTATCATTTCTATAATAAATCTTGTTTATTTTATCTTCTGTTTACTTGTGGTGATTCTGTATGTCGTGGGTCAAACACCTGGTACCCAACATGACAGACTGAGGACAATATTTTCCTGATACAAAAGGTTTTAGTTGTCTGAAAATGTAACACTTTAAAAAAAATACCCGCGATAATATGGAAAACCGTGATAATTTTGGTCAGTCAGTCAATCAATCAGTCAATCAATCAGTCAATCAATCAATCGATCAATCAATCAATCAATCAATCAATCAATCAATCAATACTTTATTAATCCCAGAGGGAAATTAGTTTCAGTACACACAATTCAGAGATCAGACATACATGGGCAAGACACATGACAAGAATTGGTGACTGTGGTCATTCGCAAACCGAGTCGCGCTACCTTAATAGAGATAAGAGGGTAACATGAGGATTGGTTCAGGTGGAGGGAAAAAAGGCACTTCAGATTTACCCTCCACCAGGAGGGCAGCTTTGCTCTGCAAAAAAACACCTCAGACAGATATACAACAGACTTCAGACAACACAACATGAGACTCCAATAGGAAGGCGGGGGGGGGGGGGGGGGGGGGGATCCTGTTTCCCCCAGCGAGAGCAGCCATCTACGGGGCTCAGCCACTGTACAGTCATAGCTGGGAGGGAGATGTTGGGGGAAGCATATAACACATTGACTCTTGCAGGTTGATGACCTCGCCAGGCTGAAGTCCACCAATCTGGGGGGGGGGGGGGGGGGGGGGGGGTGTCGGGTTTTCACAGCATCTGCCTGCATTCCTAGGCTACCAGAGCGTCAGATTCAGATAACAAGAATTTATTTGGGTCAGGCTGAGATAATTTTCCTCTCTGCCTTCAGTCTTTAAACTGATCATTCCAGTCCTTCAGTGAAGCCAATTTTGGGTTTTTAAGCCTGTCCATACCATCCGGTGACTCTCTCCGAGATGACATCCATTTTGCACACTAATACCGATATCGCAGCTAGAACAGTGTCCAGCTTACGATTCACCTCGAGAAACGTCCCGGTCTGAGAAGTCTCCATACGGACGGTGCTTTCCGTAGGTGCGGGTCGCCCTCCAATCGCTCCCGTCTTCCCAAATTTCCAGAAAACCAGATATCCTCTCACTCCAATCAGGAGAAATCCAGTGATCATCAGGCCGAATGTCCACACGTCTTCGATATCCTCAATGGACAGCTGGGAGAGGCATATGATCTTCCATTCCTTCCAGGTATCCAGCATATATCCCACCGGGTGTGTCCCCTGTGGACATGTGGGAGCCCCCTGCTCCGTTCTCATTGTTGAAAAAATCGTATCGATCGCGTTGAATGACCAATTTATCAAATCCATGGTTAGCAAAAATAGAGTTTTTCAGAAGAAATGCAGAGAAGCGCTCTGTGGGCAGACAGGACAAAGAGCCTTGGGAAAAAAAGATAAGTGGCCGGAAAGAGAAGCGTCTGTACTCCTCGAGTGCCAGGTTAAGTTTTCCACACCGTGACAACCCTAGCCACTAGATGGTGCCGTCAGATAAAAAAATTATCCAAAGGTCATATTTAATAACAGATTTTCAATAATTTGCATAATTTAGACCTATTTTGAGAAGTACAAATTTGATAAAATTACCATGAAATAATGTTTTTATTGTATGAAAATTAAAAAAATACATTTTGTGGCTTGTGAAGACCCCTAACTTGGCAGTTTGGCCTTTGTCTAGAAATGTTTGGACTCCTTTCCATAAATCATTACAACCTCACCACTGGTCATGAGCTATGGATAACAAACCAAAAGGCAAGATTGTAGAGATGAGTTTCCTTCATCAGGTGGCCTGTCTCCACCTAAGAGATAGGGCGAGGAGCTTAGCTAGCCGGGAGACTCGGAGTAGAGTCATTGCTCCTCCACATCGAGAGGAGCAAGTTGAGGCGGTTCACATATTTTGGTCAGGATGCCTCGGTGCCTTTCAGGCATGTCCTGCTGGGAGGAGCCTCCATGATCGTCCCAGTAGAAATGGACAGGATTAAATTTCCATGTTGGCCCAGGAACAACTTGGGGTTCCACCAGTGCAACAGGTTGCTGGGGAAAAGACAGTTTGGGCCTCTGTGATGGAACTGCTACCCCCACAACCCAGACCCAGATAAGCAGATAAGAATAGATAGATGGATGTTCTAAAAAAGCTGCAAAAATTATATGTAACATTAAAGGTGGAGAATAAAACAACATATTATAGGTGAGGGTATTTAATAAACACAGGTAGACAGTAAATGTTTTTATACAGAACAAAACCAAGTGCATTGGACTGTTAAAATAACCGTATGTTTCACTAAGAGGACTTTTGTAACAGTGCTGTGAAACGTCCACTGACTTATGCAAGATATCCATCCCTGTCAGGCCCAGAGCACACTCGTTTGTGCCAAATGACCTAGTTTGCAAGTACGCCACACCAAACAGCGACACAAGAGCAATAAATGATTCATTTAAAGCCAGCCAATCAGATAATGTGGACTGACTAGTTAAACAAGAGCAGGCATTTTGTCTTCTACCAAGGCATCAAATACCACTTAACCTAGATAGAAGCATTTAGTGCATGAAAGGGAACTCTTAGTGGGGCTGCGAAAGGGATTCCCCTGATAATGACTTTCAGTCACTGGTGGAATAAAACATCCTGGTAATTGATACCTAAAGGGAGAACTGCTGGAACAGTAGACTGAGAGATATCTACACGCACACATACTGGGGTATCTGGCCGCAGCTTTAAACTCAAATTGGATGTTATATGTATTAGTGTAAGAATTAATTATTGAAGTATTAAGTATTAGGTATTAAAGGTGATATTTAGACAGAAAGTCCACATGTGAGATATTTTTAACCAAACTATTCTGAAACACAAGAAAACTGCTTCATAAAACATTGCAAATCTGGAGCAGCCTGTGAGAAGAGAACTTATTGCTCAGGCCCATGAAGAAGACTTTTACCTTCACAGCCGAGCTTCTCAAACCGCCCACTGTTCCCAAAAGTGAACAGTTTAGTTCTGGAGGCTATAAGCTAAAGATCAATATACTCCACGAGGGACAAACTCCTCAAGCTATTTTAATAAAATCTGATATAACTCATCAACACTAGACAGCCATGTGACAACATACCCATACCTCTATTTCACCAGGGTGCATCTTGACTCTACAGAAACAGCTCTATTGAGTGGGCTTGTCATAGCAGAGTGGCCTCTAGAATTTGAAAAGTTGCATGAGTTGATCTGTACATGATACAAAAACACAGCACAACAAGACAGTGTGGGACACCCTTTCCCCCAACCAATCAGTGACAGACAATCTTCCGACATCGCATTTTCAGCCCAGTATGATAACCTTGGAACCACATTTGAAAGTTTTCAAAATATCTTCAGATTGTTTTCATCGCATGTTACAGGAATTATAAACATGATTTTAAAAGTTGCCATATAGGGTTTTGTTCACATCACAGCATCAAAATAACCTTCTTTTGAATCCCTTCTCTTCATAGACTCTGAAAGCCTCAGCAGCTTCACCCACCTGGACCTCGCAGCAGCTCTTTTCGCCACCAACCGAATAATTCTTCTCACTCGCAATCCTCCCTAAAAAGAACCCACTGACTAACAAACCTCCATTCATATCAACATTCAAACTCTATTCTGGTAGCTCCATGCTTAGGTGTTCCCCAAGGTTCTGTGCTTGGTCCCATCCTGCTTTTCTCAATAGTCTCCAAAGCCTTCTCCTCCTACACCACCAAACCTCTTCAGCATTACACTCCAACCCCCTCCATATGCCACTCAGGACCGAGTTCAGGGATTGGGGAGATTAATCAGAGCTGCTCCATCCCTCCGGGACTCCCTCCCACAGTCGAATAGGAGACTGCACCAAACTGTCCACTTGTCAAAACATCTTTTTAAATGTGTTTTAAATATTTGATCTTAATGCTTTTTCTTTTTAATTTTAGCATTTGATCTCATCATGTATGTGAGAAGTACTTTGACTATCATGTTTAGTCTTATATAAGTAAAACATGTTATTAATATTAAAATACTAACAGTATTGATCCCTATTTACTTTCGGCAAACCAGAAAGTTAGAGATGATAGACAGTTAGAGACAGATGATAGTTAGAGATGGTCTGTTGCAACCAAATCTGCAAATGAAGTGAGAAACAACTGAGATAAAAGCTGTGCATTAGTTCAGTGTTGTAAACATTCATCCACTTTTTAAAATGATTTTCGGGGTCGGCTCGTGCCCAGAAAACCTCACCAGGGAGGTGTCCAGGAGACATCTGAACCAGATGCCCGAGCCACCTTCATAAAGGTTATGATCAGGGTTGGTGACAAAGAGAAATATGGCCTCAAGTTCAATTCTTAATGAAAACGAGCCCAAATTTCTGCCGACAATGCAAACCAAGCTCTGGCACTGATCTTACAGGGACCTAACAGCCAGTATGAAGTAACTTGGTACCCCATTCTCCCGGAGTACCCCCCCCCCCCCCCCCCCCCCCCCCCCACAGAGTGACATGGTTCAATGCCTTCTCCAAGTCCACAAGACACATGTTGACTGCTTGGGCGAACTCCCACACATCCTCCAGGACCCTGCTAAGGATATGGAGATGGTCAAATGCTCCCCAACTAAGAGGAAAATCACATAGTTCCTTCTGAATCTGAAGTTTGACTATCTGGCAGACCATCCTTTCCAGAAACCTGAACAGACCTCACCAGACAGGCTCAGGAATGTGATTCCCTTGTAGTTGAAGCACACCCTGCGGTCATCCTTTTAAAATAGGGAGACAATAGAACTGCCCCCGATGTCCATGCAATATTTTAGAGTTGTCCCACAACATCAGAGCCTTAAGGAACTCTGAGCAAATCTCACCCACCCCTGGGCTCTGCCACCAAGGGGTTTTTAACCACCTGCCAGATCTGCCTGGCAACCTCCTCCTCCAGTGGGAGCCAAATGACCACCAGTAGTCAATAGACAGCTCTGCCCCTCTCTTCACTGAAGTGTCCTCGACAT